ATAGTAGTATTAACTGCCTTAGACTATAAAAATATAGGTAAGTTAGTATTAATAAATATAGTATATACTATTATTAAGATTAAAGTGCTATATCTCTTAGTATAACTATTTTACTTAGGTTAATAAGGTAGGGTTATATAAACTTTAATTCCTTTTTCTTTATATTCTACTAGGAATAGGAGTAAATTCCTATCTCTATTATAGTATATAACCTTTAGTCTAATATTAAACTAGTTATTTATAAATATAAACTTTATCTAAATTATATCTATTACCTAATCTTTATAGCTTAGATTAGATAAAATCTAATATTTGGTTATAAGGTCGATTAGATAAGAGATATATTTATAGTGGTTATATACCTTAGTTATATAAATTAGGTCCTAATAGACTACTTTAAATAGTTAATCCCTAATTATTATTAGTTAATAAGATATCTACCTTTCTACCTTAGAAATCAGGTATATTTTATAGGATAAAAGGGTTGAATTTTAGTTAATTTCGATATTTATAGCCGCTTTTTTAAGGTATTTAAGTACTTATTTATTTAGATAGCCTAAATAAGTATACTATAGGTTATATAATCCTTTTATTAGGTATAGATTAGATAATTATATTATATTTAATATATTTAGTAAGGTTATATAATTAATAAGATTAGATAAATAGTTAGTTTCTATATTAGTCTAATTATTCAATTTTAGTTAATTAAGTATATCTTATTACTATTAGATAAAAATTAGGTTAGATATCTTTTTAACCTTATAAATAAGGCTTCCTTTATTACTTTCGAGATAACCTTTTTATCTATTATACTATATACCTACTTTTTCTACTAGACTAGTAGAGATTAAGTTTAGATAAAAGCCTAGGAAATAGGCCACATTTATTAATTTAAATACTATTTAATTAGGTAACTTAGTAGGTTATACTAAAATAGTCCTAAAACCTTTAATTTTAGTGGTTATATCTCCTATAGAGATATAAGATAAATTCTAGGTATAGTTAATAAATTTAGTTATATTATTATATAGGTATATATCTAATCCTATATTAAATACCTATAGATTTTATAAGTTATATATTATCTAAGTTTATATTATTTAACTACTAAACTATATTATTATTATTATTAATTTCTTTTAGTCTAGTTCAGTTTTTTAGTCTAAATTATACTTTTTTAGGGTATTTTTATATATATAATTTAATCCTTTATATTAATAGGCCTTTTTAAATCGTTCTTCTATATTAGGTAATACTATCTATCTATTTAGTTATATTTTAAGATTAATATATTAGTAGTTATTAAATATATAGTTTCCTTATTTAGGGTCTTCTTAATAAGGGTATTATAGATTATATATTAAATTTGTCTAATCTTTCTACTAGCTTTTACTACTTTAGTTATAACCCTAAAAGGTAGTATAAGCGACCTTTATTACTATCTTTAGTAGGTTTAGATAAATAGAATTACAGTATTTTTTAAGTAACTAGTAGAAATCAGGTATTTTACTACCTAACTCTCTAATTATTATCAGGTAATTAGTCTAATATTTAGTAAAATATAGGGATAATAATCTAATAGCTTTAAGAAAGTTATATAAAGTATATAATTTAGTAGCTTTAGTAATTTCTATTTAGGATACTTCTATATAGATATTCTCCTAATTTATAAGCTATTTTTTAATTAATCGATTATATAATAGTCCTTATTATAAAGTATACTATTATTGTATTATATAACGCTTTCTAGATTTATTAGTTAGTATATAAATATTATATAATATAGATAGGGTATCCTAACTAGTAATAGTATTATTAACTAGTTATCTATTATTAATTAAGAGCGATCCTATAATTATATAGAATAGGGCTTAAGCCCTATTATCTATTATCTTAAATTGTTTATAGTCGATTTTATATTCTTATCTTAATTCTTATTAGAGAGTTAGTTAATAGTTATTTAGATTAACTATTGCTTTACCCTAGGTAAAAGTCTTAGTAAAGATAGGATAAATAGGTTTATTTAGTATTAGAAGGGTTATTATTTCTTCTAGGTTAACGTATTCCTATAGTCTATAGCTAATAGCAATTAATCTAATATATATATACTAGACTAACTAATTAGATTACTAACTTAAGATAATTATGGGTTTCGCTTCTATTATAGTAGTAAAATTGGATAGAAGAGAGATTAGATAAAATAAAGATTAGATGAAAAGTCGTTAATATTAGTCTTAACTCTTAGATAAAAGGGTTAGGCCGGGCTTATAACTGTTAGAGGGTGGTAAAACTAGGTACAATGCTTTATCTTATACTCTTGAGGGGTTAAATGCTTAGTATTTAAATAGATAAATAACTAGGCAGTTAAAAACATGAGATTAAAGTATATATTTAGGTCTAAAATAGTCAATTTGTCTGATCTGGTATTCTATACAATCTGGGGCTTTCTTATATAAACATTGCAGATAGCTTAGTAAGTACTGAGATCAGATTGATCTTATAACTAACTAGATGATTTCATGATTTTTCGATTAGATGAAATCATGACTTTCATCAGATGAATTCATGACTTTTATCAGATGATTTCATGACTTTGATCAGATGAAATGAAATAGGATAAATAGTATAAAGTAAGCAAACAATCGAATGAAGAACACATATTCTAACACTATTACTTTAGATCTAATCGTCGCAATGCCTATTTCGACTAATAGATATAATGCGGCTATAACTATAACTGATAAGTTTACTAAGTTAATAGGAATGATACCTGGCTGCGTAGACTAGGATAGTAAAGATTAGGCACTAGGTACTCTCTCTTTCTGGTAGATAGCTAATTAGGGGATTCCTACAGTGATTATTAGTGATCGCGACCCTAAGTTTATATAGGGCCTCTAGAAAGCACTTTTCGACCTTATCTATACTAAGTTGTTTTTTACTACTACCTATTACCTATAAACTAATAATTAGTTAGAATATACTAACTAGATAGCTGAAGTTACTATATAGTACGCAATCGCTACTTACCCTAACGAAGATTAGCTAAACCTATTACCTACCCTCTAAGCTATACTAAATAGCTTAATTAGTATAATAATAGGTTACTTACCTTATAAACTCTTATATAGTATTAAACTATACTACCCTTAGTCGCTTTTATACTAAGTTATAGCTCCTAATATTATTATATATATAGATACCGAGTATTCTACTACTTAGGCTACTATATATATAAAACGCTAATATAACTACTATTAAAGATAGATTTTTTTTAATATCGGTAATAAAGTCTATCTTAAGCTAGGATATAGATATAATATACTATTAAACTAAGTTTTACTAAGGTAACTATAATAGTATTATATTAGGTATTTTAAAGTACTTAAATATATTAGGAAACTTACTTATTATTTAAATATCCTAACTAAGTTAAGAATCTACCTAATTATTAGTATTATATACCTAGAACCTATCCTAGATAGTAATAATCCCTAGGAGTACTAACTAGATAATAAATACTACCTAACTATAGATAAGCGTTTCCCTAAAGATATTATCTATAAGGTCGACTATATTCTTACTAAGTATATTATTAATATACCTAGTTAACCCTATTATAATAGTACTAGGTATTAAATTATTAAGTATCTAATCTACTAGAAAGGCTAATTAGCTAGAGATAACTATTAGGTATAGGAAGAGGACTATATTAGATATAATAAGGCTATTAAAGACTTTAAAGAACGTTAGGGTATATTCCTAGTAAGCTCCTAAGTACTATATTTTCCTTACTTTATTTTTACTTTCCTTTTACTTTTATTATTATCTATTCTTACTACCTTATATTACTTAACTCTTACTTCTAATTCCTACTTTTATTCTAATTTAAGTTTCTAACTCTTATTTAACTCTTACTTATTACTCGATATACCTATTCTATTTTTCCTACCTCTATTACTTCTTTTTTTATATTAACTATTCTCTTTCTTATATACTAGACTTATTATATTAAAAAGAAAGGTACTCCTATACCTTAGTCTATTATAAGGAGTAACTAATATACTTTACCTTCTAGAATATATATTTAATAATTCCTATATAATATAATCTTATAATACTACTTATACTAAATTAGAACTAGATAGGCTAATCTAGACTAGTAACTAGGTCTTAGTTATTATAGGTAGTAGACTATCTCTATAAGATATCGCTTAGTTACCCTTATATATAAGATATAAGTATAATCTAAAAGGAAGGCTAGTACTACCTAATAACTATAATATTCTACTAAGTAATAAGCTTATTTATATAGTAATAAAAGAATTATCTTAGAAAAAGTATACTAAGTTCTATACTATCTAGGATACTAATAGTAAACTATATATTAGTAGAATACTATAGAACCTTAGCCTATAAATTAACTTCTATAGACTCTTATATATACTAATCTAGAAATATTACTATATATTTATTAGCCTTTATATAGCTATAAAATATAGCTACCTAATAGTCCTAAAGGTAGATTTAAAGCTTAAAATCAAAAACCTAGTTTTTATAATTAGACCTATTATCCTAGGTTATCCTTTTATAAAGGATATAGTTACTAACCTAGTAGTAGTATTCTAAGCCTACTATACTAAAGAATAAGCCGAATTTCTATACTCCCGTTCTATAGTATACTAATTATATAACTACTATAGTTAGTATACTATACTCTAGAAAGCTAAAATAAACTTAAAGATATTAGATATCGGCTTAGATAATTACTACTATATCGCTATACTCCTATAAGGACTAAGACCTTCCTATAGTTTTTTCTAGGAATTCTCTATATAGTCTCCTTTATACTTAGCTAAAGTACTATCTTTTACTTTCTCCTAAATAGACCTAAAAAAGATAAAGATTATAGACCTAGTTTAATACTTATACTAGAATATAAATTATCTAATTTAGTCTAGTTATAGTACTTAGTAAGAATACTAGCCTACTATATAGGATTAACCTAGCGATATAATTAGCGTTAGCTCTTCCGTTCTATTCTCTTTACCGGATATTCCTAAACCTTAAAGCTAATTACTAGCTATATAAAGCTAACTATACTAAGCTAATACTAAGGAAAAGATCCTCTATAATTTCATCCTTCCCTATAAAGGTATAATAGAGTATATAGACTAGGTACAGCTAGAGATCGAGAATTTAAAAAGGTTACGCAAATATATAGCTAGATATCACTAGCTATAACTCTAAGAGGCCGCTCTAACCGAGAAAACTAAGACTATTACCACTAGTACCCTTATAACAATCTCGAATACACTTAGTAGCTTCCCGGATATTCAGTACTAAGCTATCAGGCGCTAGGAAAACCTCTTCTACTGCCCCTACTAACTTCAACAAAGCGCTGCTCCTAACGACCAAGCCTAACCAGAGAGCCCGATACTGCTAGATAATAAAGAACGTAAAGCGGCTACCGAGGGTCCACTGTATAACCCCAGGCATGAATTCACACCCTCAGACATCTACACTCCGCCCCGGGCCTGCGATAACTGACGGCGCTTTTCGTTTTCTTATCATTTTTTCTTTTTTATTCTTATTTTTTATTGAAATTTCCTTTTTTCTCAGCCGGAGGCCGAGGTTTTTTGAGACCCGGCATATTGTTACAGCTTAGTCATAGTTAGCTAGTTAGCACCCCTAACAAGGGGTTCATAATATCATCATCTTCCCCACCAAGCTTACTTGCCACAGACTCCGAGAGAAAAAGCCCTTAGAATGCGCTTTCAAGTGACTAGTTTTGACAAGACCGAAGAAACCATGACTAGGATGGCAGGCGGAACTCTATTACTCCTAAGACACCCAGATAACGACCGGTACATAACTCCCGGGGGTGGAATGGAACTGGAATAAATCGAGAGAAACATAATCAAACTCCTAACACTAGAACAACATGTTAGGCATTTCCAGCCTACTGACCCTTAGGGGGAATCATAGCAAAGTTCTGGTCTCCGTTTGCCTCAAAGTAGTGTCCATCTGAAATCCTTTGCGAGCCATTAGCGTATACGTTATATTGTCGACCATTTCTGCCATATTGAGAAGCATCGCGAGGTTTGTCGGCTGGTGGTTGCTTGGAGTGATGTCTCTGGTTCATTTCCAGGTCTCTATTCCACCGACGTAGCTCTCCACTTACAGCCACAAACCCAGGATCTTCAACACCGACAAACTTCGGCATATCCATATGGTTTCTATGTATACCAATGAAGATTTGACCGGGCAAGATGGCCGAATATTGTGGCACGACCTATTTCTTAGGTGTCAGCAATGAAAATGGAGCCTGAATATTTTGTCTAGCTTACAAAACCAACACCTAGCACGGGTAACTCTTCGTAAAAGCAAGTGACCTCAATCGGTGGTGTTTCTGCTGTGCTGTGTGCCTTGATCATCGTGTGAAAGCCATCTTGGATCCGCGCAAGAACCTCAGAATCGCGCTTGAGGACATCCACAATTTTGGAATTCGTCTGCTTAAGGAGGCCAATGGACCGAGACACGACCTCAGCCAATTTGGCAAATGAAGCCCCATGGTGTGGCGTTCCAAGGAAGATGATACCACGGGTACAATCGAGGATGTTGTGGAGATGTGGTTCCGGTCGTTGCCTCGACTGAAACAAGGCCTACCATTTGCATTAGTATCATTTCGTCAGTGTCTTCCACTCATGTAATGCGATATCGTACATCTTTGCAGACTAGTCCACCCAAGCTATGGCAGACAAAAATGACAGGTCGTTCATTCTATTTGTATCAACAATCAGCAGTACTAGTGGATCCTAGAATTGGTTGTCTTACCGTGTCGCTGCTATCTCGATACGATGAAAGAGATGTCAGCAGATTCAGGGCATGATTGCAGATGAAGTTCTCTGAGACTGGGCCTCGCCAATCGACCAAAAACGCGTCATAACCGAATGTGAGGACACGAGCTGTTGGGAGTATGGATGGCAAGAGACTTTCGGGCCAGGGTGTAGTTGCACCTTCGGCAGTCCATGTAGCTTCACGATCACCAGTCAAGCCATGAATAAACACGATGCTATGAGAACATTAGAAAGGTTTCCACAACGAATAAGGCACGCACTCAATTGTCCCATCATCTGGGTTACAGAGCGTTTTGATTCCGTTGGGGAAGGACTTCTTCGGCTGAATCTCAGGAGTAGAATTAGGAGCTGAACCCGGTTGTCGTCGCCCAAAAATTCGCTTGGCCCTAGTATAGTTGAAAAATGTCATCTTAGATCGTTATAGAAAGGATTCCTGGTCGTGCGGTTTGCGATATAAGACTGAAAGGATGGCGGTGCATCGGCGAGATTGCATTATAGGGCCAATTTTCATTCCAACCTAATGGTATCTGCTAGTGTATTGCGGTCAATCTAAGCGCCAGGAATATCTATTTTCGCCTGAAACTCACGACGTGGGTCCTTTCTTATCTCGTCACATCGTGAAGACATGGTGTGCTTATATTTGCTCTCAATTACTGCTGGGGAGATGGAGACAGGCTGTAAGAAATCAGAAAGCCACCGCAGCTCGTCGATCCTCTCCCCCAGGACAAACGTAATACTATCAAAGATGTACTCCTGTCTGCCCAGAATGTTGGATCAGGCTACAGAAGCACGGAGCGGGTTAGAATGAGCCACAGCTTAGTGGCTTTCAAATCCGATTTGGCGCCGCTAGTGATGAAACGCATTTGATGCCATCATTGCCCAGCGGTTACAGGATAGCGTTGAATGGTTCTGCTCAGGCGCATGTTTTGCAGGTATTTGATCCAACTTTAGATTCAAATCCGGCTGAGAAAAATGGAGTTTCTTTACATGATTGGATTCGCTTATTATCCCCCAACGTGCTAGGCAGGGTAAATCAGAGATTGTGTCGCACTGGGGGCTGGATACGATTTCTATAATTAGCAACATGCATGGCTGGGGGTTTGGAGTGTACTCGCGCTACGACCTGCATCAAAGAAAATCTAATCTGCTTTGTCGATCCGATTTGTCAATCCATTCAGAATTGTTCCACCCTCGTACTTGTCTTCATATCCGATCCATCAACTGTGATCCAGGCCCAGATTCGTTGTCACATTAGCCGCCCAGAAAAGGGGCTGTGCCGACGTATCAGAATTGAAAAAAAGCATTCATAATATGGTGCCAAGTGCCAGCCAGTCAACCATATGGAAGTGTCTATCAAAATACCTTCATGATTGGCGTTATAAGGAAGCTAGCACTGTACGTACGCGCCGGGGTCGACGGATTAGGTTATTGTGTTGCGTCGTCGTCATTTCCCGCAGGTGGGGGCCGCACGGACCATGATTCTGCCACTGCACACCGTGGACCCAGGGAATCATAAATTCAGCGCGGTGACCACTGTTTTAATCCTAGACAAAGAAATCTACACTCTCTGGCGGGTGGGTGAATGCTCTTCTCAATAACAGACCGCCAGCTCTACGCCCAGCGCTTTGCCTTGCCTTTGACGAAGAATCACAGTCAGTGAAGCAAAAGGATTCGGCGCATCAGCAATGTAAGAATCAAATACTTCTGATTCTTTAAACTTCCATAATAACCATTCACCTAGTATCTTGGTCAGAATGTCAGATATTGAGATCATTCGCCAAATTACTGACCTCATTGGGGTCACAGAAAGTATAATGGTGGCATTCGGCTCTATCAAAGACCTCTCTAGCTTACCGGAGGCCTTTCAGGAAGCCATGAGATGGCTTCCTCTTGTTGAAAACACCTTGCGACATGCCAAACGTGCGGCGGAGAAATTGAACTCTACCGAAGATGCCCGGGCACTGAAGACCGTCCTGCATGATTGCGACAAGAAAGCCGATAATATACTGGAGATTTTTGAGCAACTTGGTGAAAAGTCAAACGGAGAATACAACTCGTCCGTGTACCGCTGTATAGTTATCAAGCAGGGAAAACAGCGTGTGGAGACTTTGATGGACGGCATTCTGGAGGACCTAGGAACCTTGGTTACTCACAAGGCGTTTCTAGGAGAAATGCACAATCAAATCAACCTTTTGGCGAAGGCTCGCGAATATCTGGCGGGAATTTGTCCCTCGCTGGCCGATTCGGATCTTGCCGATCAGCCCAGGGCTGCCAACCAATACGGCGAGAACAGTCGCCAGTACAACTTGTTCGGTGAAGGCACACAGAGAATCGCTGATGGCCACTATTTCGAGGCGAAGGGGAATCAAAATTTTGGTATACTTCCTTCCAAGGAGTCTGTGGAGACCAGATAGCGGTTATACTGGGCGGCGATGTCGGTGTTTCTTGAGGTGTGAGATATCCTACAATATAATGTTCGCCCGGTTAATGAAAAATATTAAACTTATGTTCCTTAAGTACGGAGGCCTATAGCCGCCATGGGTGACTTATTTACTATTGGTCAATACTACCTGGCAGGAATATAGTCATACACTCAACTTGCTTCTTCTTTCTCTCCATCTTAGTTATTTTGAATAGAATGCACTTTGCTTCCTTTGCAAGATCTGGCACGTCAAAATAACAACCCTTTTTTTTATATACCTACGTTTTTATCCCGGACGACTTCACTTTTACACGCAGATCGTCGCGAAATTACAACCGAGATTTGACTGGACCTCATAATTATCCCGAAGACAACAATTAGTAAGTAAGTATTTACCCAGGTATCCAATTTGCTCTGGAAAAACATTGGCACATTCAAGATAGCTGAGAATAGTAAAATCCTTAAATGCACCAAGATAGATATTAAAAAACAAAGGAAACATGTTCAAACCCCCTCCTCGTCAGGCACGAAATCGAGTTGGACCATTCTTCCTTCAATTGTCTGGATTGAGCTCTCGTACAATGATCTGGGCCCTTTCGAGGATGTCCTTCGTCTTCTCGAATCGGGATTCGAGCGCATTTGCTACGGCGGGCGCCTTTTCTGCCTCTGAAAGTTGGCCTTCATCCGCAATGACAGCGTTGAAATCCCTCGCCATACTCTCTACCTCCTCAGTCAATTTTGTCTGCAGATCATCGAAACAAGCGTCAAGAGCTCCTATGTATTCTCTGCCTGCGAGTCTAGAGATATTGGCAAAGAGCATCGAATGTGTCAAGTGGTCATTCATGATTTTCTTCCGGCGCTTGTCGCTTCCAGTCCCTATGTAGATCAATAAACTGGTTGAGAATGGAAATAAAAATTACTGGGTTGACAAACCTCCTTCTTGATTGATCTTGGCATATGCAGGCTGCATCAGACCTGTAATATACGAGCTGGCATGGCCATAAATAGTGTCTCGCTTTATTTTTCTAGAATTGTAGTTAGAATTTTGGCTGGGTATAGCCATATTGGGACATACATACCCTGCACATTGTATGACCTTGAGCAAAGTATTCGAAATATGATGTCCGATGCACTGTTGTCTGAACTTCATGCTTTGTTGAAGGTTGGCAAGGGCGCATGGTGCAAGCTGAATATGGGCTGCAGAATTTAGTTACATGAGCATGCTGGTGCAACACGGAGATCTGGGGAAATACAGTCTTTATCCCACATAGGAATGACATACCTCCAAATTGCAGGCACCATTTATCGAAAATAGTGTCAGTATATCTCGCAAGGCTTCCTTCCTGGAGGTGCAGCGAAGTCTGAATATTCTCCCATTTGAGAGTTAGCTGCTCCCGTGAAGGCTGGAGTAAGTCGTCATTCCAACATCGACCATTAGGTACAGCTCCGGTCGTATGGTCTCCGTAATGACTACAAAAGGCTGAATAAGTGCTATGGGACCACTGGGAATAAATTAGGATAAGTTGTGTAGTGAGAAAATCTTGGACAAAAACTCACTCCTGCCCATTCTAGACTGATCTGAATACTTTCAGCCGTCCAGCGACTTTGATATTGCCCTGCGCATTTCTTAGAACCGTAAATTAAGTTACTGTATGAATCAACTCACGAATTATGTTGGTGATGCATTCGTCATAAAGACCAATCAAGCTGCGGCGCGTAATTTGAGCCAGTCCCTGGTCGGAAATGAGTTCCTATCGACCATCAGAAATTCCACACATGCTAAGAGCATTCTCAGAGACCCAATATGCCCTTTTGGATCAAAAATACCCGATGAAAACTATTCTGTGCATTTTCCAGAACCCGTCGAAGGAGGGCAGCGTTTCCACCTGTGACTGGATCTACTCCAGACAATGCCCATTGGCGCAGAGAGGAAAGCAAAGCTGGCACTTCGTGATTCAAAAATGCGGATGTTGACCGCATTAGAGCTGCAGCGGGCACTAATTGGCAGTAGCGACGCAGCTCCCGGATTCCTGCGAGATCAACGTATGCCTCCTCATCACTCTTTCCGCTAAAGCGGTATTCGGAGTAGAGTATGTTACTGACACAAAACACTTCGACATCTTGGTGCCTCTGGATGAGCTCATGTGATATTAGAGAGTTTCGCCGATTGATGAGGAATTGACTCATGCTGCCCAATGAGTTAGTATGCAGATACTGACGCGAATGTCAGATGTCAGATGTATGTTACTTACTTGAACTTCAGCACTTTTTCCTGGCCCCTACTACACATTCAGCGAGTGAGGTTGTTTCATCTTGAGGCAGTGACCTTACCGAAGCTCCATTGCTTTGACCGCCAGTTCCGATCGTCTCGCAGGAGAGGCTTTCCGTGCCTTGGACTCGGTTGATTCAAGCTTTTTCCGGAGGACCTGCATTTCCTTATTCATCTCTTTCACTCGATGAGCATATGGAGTATCTCCGCGAGAAGACTCCTCAGGTGAAATATCCTAAAAATACAGGTCAGTGAGCACCTCCCGCTCCGACGGGCCGCTGTCATTACCTCTGACTTTGTGCAGATGATCCTCCGCGGCTGATCATCTCTACATCTTCGCATAATGTCTTGAACCGACGCGTTTGTACAAGCACGGGAAATATCCATAACAACAAAGACCTCGTCACAGCTATGAGAAAGATAGCGCTCTGTGGCTCGAACCCTGGCAAAATTCAGATCGCTGAAACCTGGTAGAAATTAGTCTGCGACCCAATTCCATTGGAAATGACAAAATGAGATTCAGTACATACCAGGTAGATCAGCTAGCACCAAGCCGTTTCTCAAAATAGGTGATTTGAGATATACCCTGCAGGAGTATTAGTAAAACAACCTGGTTCTCGGGAAGTCCCACGAACCTTATCAACTTGATGAATGGCCAAATTGCAGGATTACCATTACCAGCATTACTGGCCGTTAGCATATCAAGAATGTCCCTGCACTCCTCAATATCACCGGCAACTACAGAATACTCAAGTGCATCCAGTCCGCCAGGTCGCAGTGCTAAGCTGGCAGAGGCCCATCGTTCCAACTGTGAAAGAAGAACTAAATAGGCATCTTCGAAGTCTTGAGAAAGATGCTCCATAGTTAATCCTGGTTGCTTGTTGAACAAGGACTGAAAAGTTCCCCAGGCTCTCCCGGCCTGATCTCGACATTTTTGCTGCTCTTCTTGTGACTTCAGTTCTTGGAAGAATCGAGTGACATGGAATTGACGGAAGATCGTAAGAAGCTCTCCTAATAGCCCTTTCATTTCTTCTGAAGTCATGAAATCTGCTTCGATCGTAAAAGGTCCGGTGTGGTTTTCATCAACATGTCGGAATTCAGTCACAACACAGGTGCAAGCTGTGCCTTCGCGGCTCTATACATGCATTTTAGTAAAACCTCGTTAATTAGCGAAGATGCCAATGATTAAGACAGAACATACTGAGCGTGACAAGCTCTCTTGATCAAGTAAAGAGTTTATCAGTGAGCTTTTCCCTTTTCGAGTGTTAGGACTAGAAGTGACAGAAGACAAAAGATAACGACGAAAACCCATACCAACACCAGAGTCGCCGATGAAACCCACGGTCCGAGTTTCCGGATATTCAAACATGCTCATTTTCTTAGTCCGCTTGTACAGGACATGTAGATCGGAAGAATGATCTTGGTTTAGCTCGGAGAGTCCCATGATATCAGCGAGCGCAGCCAATTCACACTTAACTTCTTTCAGACCATCCTGGACCCGACGAGAATAAATTGGGGCAGTAGGAAGTGGCTCTTCGCGAACACCAGCAGACTTGGCCTCGGTCATTTCTTCAACGTCACTACAGTGATCACTGTCTGATTCTTCATCATCTTGTACCCGATCGCTTTCGGTGGGTGGAGCGGCCTGGCCAGTACTCGAGGTAGGGAAAGCCCCAGGGATCCGTGGGGTTGCTCGGGTTGAACTTGAAGATATCGAGGAAGTCTTCTCGTGCTGTTGACTGCCATTAATTGTACGTACAAGCTCAGGCCTTGGACTCGGACTTGGAGAAGCATTATGCTGCTGTGCATAATTGGAATGCGAGCTACCCGGCCTTAGCCAAGCATTTGATGACCAAGTTGGAGGGGAATGCATGGGGGCTAGGGAATCGTTGAGACCCAAGTTCCCAAAGATAGGAACCAATCTCGGAGTTTGTGGAGTTAATGCAGGACCCCCCGAGCGATTGGTGTCTCGAGATGATGAAGGGGTGAAAGCTACTTCAGATTGCGAATGAACTGAGAAGGTGAACTCTGAAGATGGCACTTCCGTCATGGTGTGTCTGCGTTTTGACAGTTATCGAAAAGCCTGGGTCAGGGGCGGATGGGGTATATATAAGGAGATCAATATGGCCTGGTATGGTAATCAATCCCGAACCTATAACAAATCCGCTGTGGGCCTTTGTATCGCGCCTTCATGCTCCTACTTGCGCTATATTAGCGCTGCGTTTCAACCACCTTTTTAGCGCCTGCAAGCCACTATGGCTGCTCGTCTAGAATTTTGATGATTCTATTCTGACTCCAGAGAACTATGGCTTTGTCCACAGCTTCGTGCATGGTACGTGTTATCCACAACCTTTTGCGTGATACGTTTTATCTTGAATGTTGAATGAGCAGAGAACTGTTGCAACTTCTAGCCCCGAACGTCCTTTTGGCCCCCATTAGTTAGCGGGCTTAGCTGCATTCCAACCCCTGTACCAAAAAACGCACGGAGTCATGCGCAGGAGGCGAGCATCCAATTAGATTTGGAGTCCAGAAAATTTCGTCCTTTTGTTATCAAGGGCGTTGCAACCCTTTCGAAAAGCGGCAACCACGGAGCACTAGCACACTCACCCATTTCTCACCCGGGCGACGCCCACCGGACTATGACCGCATATAAGCCACACGCCGGTGAGTTAGTAGCTGAGTGGGTGACCACCAGCGAACCAGCGAATCCTCAATATTGTATATTTTTTGACTTCTATTTTTATTGTTCGGATCTTAGGAAAAGATCTCGTGCCGCCGACTCTTCACCCCCTTCAGCCTATTCACCTGAATGCTCTGAACACCACTATTCAAGACCTGGATATCCTACACGCTGGGATGTTGATGTTTACAATGTTCGCCAAAGTGGCCAGCTATACAAACAGGCTGTCTGTATTACACTAATAGCTCAGGGGGAGCTAAAGATGATGTATTAATACTAACTCCGGCAGTGCCTTGGGGCCGCTGCCATAGAGCTGCATGATAAGGATGACTCAAGGTCATCAAGTAGTACGGAGATACTATAAGAAAAAAAAAAAAACAGTATGTGAAGTCTCAAAGTGGGAGATTTCTTCAGTTCTTTGATCTGGATTTATCTTACGGTCTTAGTACCCCTCTCCTAAAATTTTGAGAAACTCTACTAGAGCTTAACAGGCACTAATCATTATATGGAGACACAGTGAGTTGGTGACATACCACCAAATTCGATTTTACCGTTGCCATTGTTGTCGAATGCCTGGATATGCTCCGCAGCCTCCTCGTCATTCATTTCAATGCCTTGCTGCCTAGAAGTGTCGATAAGCTCGTCTGTGGTAATGAAGACTTAAACTTGAGCACCTTGGCAAAAGGCTATCAGTGAGAGACGCACGGTCATTATTGACATACTAGAGTGCAGAAAGTAAGCATCGGCGCGCATAATATCTATTGGGAAGGCCTGTAAGCAGAATAGGCAAAGAAGAGGATGCTTTCTGTTCTATTCCGCTGGAACTCCCCCCCTTAGGCATGTAATTGATAGATATAATCGCAAATTCTTCGAGCTCCGACAAATATATATTGATCAGATCTCACATACAATCAAATATTTACATTCATACAATATCATTTGGGGGGATGCGAAGGCAGCTAATCTACTCGTTGATGCCAATGAAGATATATACCTGATTGATTTTGGGAGGTTATACTGAAGGTTGGGTTGAGAAGGAGAAGTCTAAGTCGACCAAGGGAGATCTCTAGGGACCTGAAAATATCAGGCGGTACCTTTTTAGATGAATATTACATAACTACTATCGTTCCGTGCTCATACTATCTACTGTTAGTTATTACACTTTCTTATCCAGGCTAAGGCAGCCTGCTAAGACGACTTCCTTTACTTTATTTATACATTGATCTGTGATTAGTTTGCAATGCTTGATGCTCTATAAATTCACTATGTTTGTATCTTGATTCTGTATACGTTGCCTACTTAATGCCAGAGGCATAATCCTGGTCAGCCTGAGGTAATCCGATCATATCGCCCTACGAAGGTGTAACCGCTATTTTTCATCGATCTTAGGCGTTAAGGCCCTCCAAACATACGAGTCTCCAGCATTTGAAGCCACTCACACTCGCCACAGTCCTGTACTTTCCCGGAGAAAAGCTGACCAAGGCCCAAAACGTTTGAAAAGCCAAGCCTGGATTTCAACATAAAGCCCCCATTCCTACCGACTGTATGAACTTCAAACAAACTCTCCGTATCCTCTGGCTCCAGCGTGGGGAGATGGGAATAGTGACAGCCTCATCTCTTCAATGCGTACTTGCGAAAGATAGCATTGAGCGGTGTCGAAGGCGGTCTAAAACTAGTAAGAGCTAGTCCTAATTAGGCTGTAAAGCCATTAAAATCAGGCACCGGACTGTTGTCGGAGAACGCAGGGTCGGCATACCAGAGAATACCGGAGGATCTATTAATCCTAAAAATGTATCATTTTCCCGGACGTTTGTTATTTTTAGAGAGTTAGAGAATTTATTGACATTTTTCTGCCACATATACAATTGCCTTACCACTCGAATTTCCATCAGATGCTTATACTTAAAATTCCAGTACCGCCTGTCTAGATCGGGTACTACTCAGAATTCTACCACATTTCTACTATACTTTATTCTATATAAAAAGACATATATTTTAATTAGAAAAAAATCATATCTAACTTGATTCCTAGAACAGTAGAGTAAAGTAGGTACTCAACCAAGTTTTAGAGGTAGTGCTGGAATTTCAAGGATAAGCATCCGATAAAGGCAACAATTTCCTGAATTTAAATTCATATTTATAGATTAGATGATCTCTGAATAGCTTTATACTTCGGTATACAGTACAATGATTGATAATTCTATATTATACTTCGTATGGTTGTCAAATTAAATTAAAAGGGAAAACTAAGGCGGTGGTAAAAGCGGTAACCCGATTAGGCTGGTTGTCGTGATGGTCCCAAAAAGCCCTCGTACCCTTCCTTTTCCTCAACATTGAACTTCATTTTCCCCACTTGTCACTGCACGCAGCACCAGCGCCACTGGCACCACTGCTCGTACTGTTTCCTAATGGCGGCTACCGAAAAGTCTGGTATCAGCCTTATGAGCCAATACAATATTGTTCTACCGAAAAGGCAGGCGTATGACTCTTCCGGCAAACCTATACCTACATGCGATCCAGATCAATGTGCTGCGGCAATAAAGGGGGAGGATCTCCCCGTCGATCTAAGCTCGTTTTGGCATCAAAGAGCAGTTATCCGTGGGATTCGTGATTCACTTCAATTTGCAACAAGCCCGGCAATTCTTGAGCTATGCTCCGGTGACGATGGTCAGGCCCATCAATTTTCTCGTGCCCGTAATGCTCGCCTGATAATGAGTGATGTAATCCCCGATATGCAAAATCCTGCCACTCAGCCGTACTGTATCTGGTATCCCGACCTTGCATCAGAAGAAACATATCGCGAAGTTGCCCGTCGGTATCCGTCTATGCGGTATCAAGTGGGCCGAGCGTGTGCTGCAGCATGCTATATAGATCTCTACAAAGAATTGGACTTTTTGCCTGACGTTTCTATTGCGGAAGAATCCCGCGAAGTTGATAAAGACGCCGAAATCTATAAGATTATTATATCCGCCCCCCAACGATATGCTGTTATGGAAGATTTCTCTCGATCCGTTCATCTTGAAACCCCACGAACGTCTGCGTCTCTGAATGGCGATATGAAGCCCCGATGGGCTTTAGGACAGCGAGTTCTCCCTGGTAAAAATTTACCAGAGACGACTGCTGATGATATTGACATCGAGGAAGATGGATTTATCGGCTTTCAAGCTATCAGCTTGAAGGATATCAGCGGAATGGAGGTCTTCGCTGAACTGGGCCCAGGCCAGTCCGATCAACTGTGGATGCCTCTTCCGCCTGATCTCCCAAATCTTGAAAAGCGCCTTCAGACACAGATGGCCGCGTGGGAGGGCAATGTGGATCGATACAGTCGACTAATGCACCCACGTAGGCTGAGAACCAAACTTGAATATAATTGTATTCTTCGTGGCATTTATCACAGTACAACCTTCGCCAGATGGTGGGCCTATCAGCTAGAAACAAACCCTGGACGGGCTATCCTCCCAGGTAAATTGCTCAGCCAAGGCAATGAACGGGAGTGCAGAGAGATACGCACCGCGATTAATGCCCGCGTGATAATGAACAATGATATCTCTGGTATCGACGATGACTCGGACTGTCTCCCGTGGGTCATATGGGGGCCCGTAAAGCCCTCTGAGAACACTTTAGCTGATCTGGTTCGAAAGTGTCCGTCCATGGGACATCAAGTTGCGATCACTTGTATAATGTGTGATTACGGTTCGATATTCCGAAGTTTGAAGCCCCCCTATACCAGATCCTTGTATGTGGCTGCTAGGCGAAGTGAAAATCCATTCTACCTACAATACCTTGAGGAAATCATAAAGGAGCGCGACATAACTCCCCCGGACTTTCATTACTTCAAGGACTTTGATCACACTGCACCAGGCTTACAGACTGATCTGGAGCCTAGAGATGATCTCACTAGTCCCACTATCAGCTACCATGATATGGAGATCGGGTATGGGCAATATCCCTGTGGAAATGAACACGAAGAAACCCGAGGTACATATGGAGGCGGGCTAGCAAATCCGGGAACGGTGGAGAGATACATGTGGCTCTCAACTGAAACTGCACAGAAGTTGAAAGATGAACTTGACGTGCCCTACCCAGGTGCGGATATTGGTCATTTGTATGACGATGAAGAACTTCGATCCAAGCTTTCACGCCGTATACAGCCTATGGATCGGTAGTATGCAGGTTTTGATATGTCGAATACAGTCAGTCCCTTTGATTTTCGAGTATTATCTGCCGAGTATTCGCTAGCTTAGTTACCGATGGCAATATCGCTCGTAGATACTAGGACCAACCTTTATAATCTCAGATCAGTTCCAATCCCTCTTCCACGTATAATATAGCGCGTCGAGCACTTGTGGTATAATAGCAGTTCTGTAAATACACTCTAGCAGCACTGGCACATTGTGACAATTCTTATGCAGGTAAATAAAAGCTCTCTAAGAAACTTGCAGGTTTCTCGAACTTGAATGAATTACCAGTACTGCGCCGAGCCTGACGAAGCAACGGGGGTGTGAATACTCATGAAACACCACTGTACGTGTTCCAGGGTCAACCGATAACCCAATCATATCACGGTCCTCGTTACCTGAGCGGGTCAGTGCGGCCGTCGCGCGACCTAGGGTAAATCTCACCCTGATCTCACGCAGCTTCTCACCCTGTTTATAGTGCACTCACTCTGTTTATAGTGCACTCACCCTGCTCACCCCCGGTCGAGCGACCGTAAAGCGGCGCTCACCCATTTATCACCTGGGCGACACCCACCCGAATATCGACTGCGAATAAGCCACACGCCGGTGAGTTAGTAGTTGGGTGGGTGACCACCAGCGAATCCTCACTGTTGTATGTTTATGTTTTTGTGTTGTTCATTGGCCTGAACGTCGAGTTGCCTAGTATATGTGAGATTGAGCAGCCGAGAAATGGTTTTCTGTCTACTATTCCACGGTTAGATTTTGATGTTGAGAGGTCCACATTAGCGGGATAGTTCCGCACGACGTTATCAATCAAAGGGCTGGACACCTACCTGATGGACACTACTACACCTGAACAACTCAACACTCCGAAGTTACCTACATCGAAATTTGCACCCAATTGCTCAATTGTATTGAAGTCCCATCGGCCATGACAGCCCAAACCCCAATCCACGAGCCCGCAACTGCTGACGGCTGGCATGGCGTCATCCCGAGCGAGGAATTCCCCGCCGAGAAAGGCCGCTACCACCTCTATATCGGCCTCTTTTGTCCCTTCGCCCATCGTGTAAATTTCGTCCGCCATCTGAAAGGCTTGACCGAATTCATTGACATCAGCATTGTCAAGCCATACCCCAAGGGTGACGCCAAAGGCTGGCCAGGATGGCGATTCCCGGCCTCTGATGATGAGTATCCCGGTGCGACAGTTGATCACCTCTTTGGTGAAGACTATTTGCACAAAGTCTATTTCCGAGCCGACCCCGATTACAAGGGGCGGTATTCGGTGCCGTTGCTGTGGGATACGAAGACTGGAACGGCGGTTTGCAATGTATAACACCTAATGGATCTTGGCGAGTAAACGTTTTACTGACCGGATATATCGTGGTTAGGAAAGTGCGGAACTTCTTCGATGGCTTCCCACGGCTTTCAATGAACTGCTTCCAGCATCGCTCGCTGCAATTGACCTTTACCCGGTACATCTGCGCGATAAAATTGATGCAGTCACCACGTGGATGCAATCTGATGTCAATGCTGGAGTATATAAAGCAGGCTTTGCGTCCTCGCAGGAAGAGTATGACAGAAACGTCATTCCTGTGTTTGGGGCTCTGAACAAACTCGAGAAGATTGTTGCAAATAATGGAGGCCCGTTTGTGCTCGGTCGAGATTTAACTGAGCTGGATATCCGGTTGTATGCAACATTGATCCGTTTTGACACGGTATATGTGCAACATTTCAAGTGCAACCTAGGCACCATCCGACATGATTATCCAGTTTTAAACAACTGGCTCAAGGGCATGTATTGGAATGTTAAAGCGGCCAGAGACTCGACAAACTTTCTACATATCAAGGAGAATGTATGTTGACATGCTTTTTTGGTACTAATTGACACCAACTGACTTGATACAGTATACAAAGAGTCATGCGGATATCAATCCAAAGGCAATCACGCCTATGGGTCCTTTCCCTAACGTCGAGGAGGGGTTCGAAGAGGACTGGAGCAAGTTGGCTGTCGGCGAGGTCAAGCACCCCTCTGTGTTAGACTATGAAACTACAATTCCTGATCTGTAGTGATTAATATTGGCTGTCAAGATGTTTGATATTAAGTTATCTACGTCATGTCTGGTTGTGCCTCTTGAATGCTTTTTTCTAGATGTCAGTGTTTGAGATAGAACCTAGGAGCACAAAATACATCTAATGATACTGGAGAATTGGGTCATGGATGGCATACTTTCGCCTCATAGACAGAGGATATCGAGTGCTAAATGAATGTATATGCATCCTAGCAAGCCCAGCTGGGCAGCGAAATTATCCTAAAAATCAATGTCCTTTGCAACTGCTCAATCCATCGTTCTGCACACGTTCCCTAGTCCTCCCTGTTTTTTTCTTCTTCGGCTGTCGGGTAGCCTCCTCCTAACCATCTTCGGAAGAATTCACCTCTTCAATGATCCCCGATTCAACAGCCTGTGTCCAGGTGTGGACATTCTTGTTTCCCTTACTAGTGAAAATTGAAAATGCACCATTCGGTCCTTCACGGATATCCCCAGAGGGACCGAGTATCTGCTTAAGCGACTCCGTGCTAAACATCCGATGGATGTTCCGGGTCTTTTCCTTCTGCAGACCGATCATCCACGAGTCAATGGACCCTTTTGCCACAATTTGGACGTATTCCACTAAGCGAGGTTGTCCGATGCGGTACAGACGACAGTACGCCTAGCAACTTATTGTTAGCTTGCCTATAGCCTTGAACCCTTCTAGGATCTGAATTCAGACTTCCTTACCTGGTCTTGAATCGCTTCATTCCACCAGGGATCCACAAGGATGCACTTGTTAGCCATAGTCAAATTGAGGCCAACACCGCCAGTCTTCAGGGAGGAAATCATGATTTTGATATCTTTCTCCTTGCTGAATTGCTCAATTTGCCTATCACGCGAGGTTGGCGACACCTTCCCTGTAATCTATATGGGCATTGTTAGTTATGTGGCTCGGTGTTTTTCTCTTACCAGTCTTGACGTACGGTTGCATATTTCCAGCCCTCCTCCTCACACATGAACTGAAGAAGTTGAATGGTCTTCAGGAATTGAGCGAAGATGACGATCTTGGCATTTCCATCCTCTTGCACCCAGTCTGTGATGAGTTTCCGAACCGCTGTGGTTTTCGCTGACGGCATACGATCCCCAATGCACGAAATCCAATCGCTCTCATCCTCACTGGGCTCGTCCCACTCGCGATCTGATGGATTTTTCAATAGAACCTGTTGTTTGAAAGACTTTTGACGCCGCTTTTTGAAGATGTTCCTGCCATTTCCCTTCCGCACGGACTGCTTTCTCTTCTTTGGTGAGCCCTTTGGTGAATCGTCGGAGTATCCGGCCTCCTTGATGGGTTTTTTGCAGGAGCTGCAGATGCGGGTGGCGGTATCGGTATTTCCACTTTGGTCGGGTAGTGCATCAAAGCACCCCTTGCAATAAAGGTGATGACAGGATGTGACCACGAATGCCTCCTTCTCGTTCACGCTATTCGTGCAATGAGGGCATATTCTGCATATGACTTGGTAGTGTTTTCCCTCGTTTTCGCGCACGCGCTCCACGTGTTCGTAAAATTTTACCTGGAGGTCGGAAAAGTCTCCTGGAGGCCTTGGTCGAGGAGCGACCTTGTCACCCATACCGAGAATTAAGTTGATGATGACCCCTGATGCGCTCTTAACCACGCCTTCTGCTTGTACCATCTTTTTGAGTTTTGCAATGACATTTTGGTTGAGCACAGTCTCGAGGAATTTTTGGGCGAGGAGCGGATGGCTCACAAACATTCTCAGCATTGTTATAACGGCCAAGATGCATTTGCTCTGTTTCTGTCTTGTATCGGCAGACCCTTGTGAGATGTGTTAGCGCTCAGCTTCTTTTGCTATCAATGTCAGACCTACCATTGACCATTGCAATGCCAAGATCCTGAATCTCCCTGTAAAGAAACTTTTCAGCTGGGCAAAGTTCGACCTCTACGACACGGTTATTGATGCCCGGAAGCGTGATAATGGGCTTGCCAAGTATCCAGGTACTGTATGTGCTGCGGTGTAGGACAGTTTCAAGGATGTTATCCAACCCCTATAGAGAATGTTAATCTTGGATTTTGAAGTAAAGGCTTCCTCAAGGAGACTAACCTTGGAGTATTTTTTCAGGAAGGTGTCATATCCCATTCTTTCCGATGTAAAGATAAAATGGAGATATGGGTAAAGTTCTTCCACCCCGCTAGAAACATTTAGTCAGTACTCAGGACTTCGGTCATTCCAAAGCTTGCCATGCCCAAGTGGTGACTAGTTCTTACTTGTGTAACGGCGTCCCGCTCATAGCCCATTTGAATTTGCCTTTCAAGGCTCGGACAGCGATGGAGGTTGCGGAATCTTTGTTCTTGATCAAATGAGCTTCTGCGAAGTCGAATTAGTATCAACCGCATTGAATATATTTATAAGTCCTGTACATACCGTCAAGAATGATGCGGTACCACTCAACCTTATGGAAAGGTCCAGCTCTACGATAGTATTCCTTTTCTCTCCAAGCCTCAAGCTTTTCTGGAGACTTGATCATGACTGGTGGTTTCAACTTCGGGTGAGAGCTGCAGACTTGCTCATATGTGGTGATCCTATAAGGTCAGGGACATGAAACATACAGTAATCTGCTTCAAATTTCTTACACAATAAGCCGTTTTTGCATCGCTCTCACAACATCGCTCTCGCTCGTTCGGGCACCGGCGTAATACTCGAGAACATCTCTACTTACCCTTTCCTCGCAATGCGTAGAGATTTGATCGATCCTACAACCGAGTTAAGTAACACTCACATTAATCTTTTAAGTCGAAGAGTGAGACATACCACTGTGCAATCAAGCTTCTCGGGACAATGATCAGAGTTGGGGCTTTTGAACGATTTGAGAACTTTTCGTTCGCGATATTTGCTTATGGAAAATATAAGATTTTGACTTCTCAAGGTGGTCTTCGTTCTTACCGAGAGCTGTAAGCGTTTTCCCCAGGCCCATCTCGTCGCAGAGCAAGCCTCCATTTGGCTCCACCGCCGAACTCTCGCGATTGCGCTATGCACGTCAGCTAGGTACCATGCTTATAACGTAGAATGCCAAACTTACCATCCACGCAGCGGCCTTGAGCTGTTTCAATAGTTAGTCACATATATCACAATTTGAACCTAGTAGATCAAGATTTCAAACCTGATGGTGCTTCAGCAGTGTTTTGAGACCTCTAACCTTCCAGTTCATGTTGATGATTGACGCCGAGGGCTCGAATTTCCTCGAGTCCTGAATCAATGAATTTGCGTCTTTTTTAGCTTGCGGTTGGTCTTCAATTGAAAGCTTCGCAACTTCCTCTGCGAGCGCTGTCGTCTTGTTCTTTTGCTGGGACACAGGGGTCAATTGCTGTATATTAGCGTTGGCCTTTGCGCCGCTGAGTATGTTACTATGCATCAGACCCTTGACTTTCTCGATGAAACTCGATGAGGTTGAGATTCGTTCCTGCTCTTTTCCCTTGGGTTTGCTTGAGATCTCTTTTTTCACTGGCCTGGAAGAACATTCAAGATCACTATCATTTCTGGAAGATTCAGCGGGCTCGGGCTCGGAATCCACCAGTGACTCCTCGTCTGAGGCTAATTTGAACTCCTCATCAGAACAGTTTTCCTCGTCACCAGAAGACTCCTCATCATTGGAGACTTGGTTCGAGCCTGTTTTATCCAGCGATTCCTCATCAGGTTCCTTAGGGAAATTCTCTGGCACAGGATCATCTTGTTTCAAGGCTTTTTTCGGGCAGAAGTAAGTGGTGATTAGTTTCTGATTTGGCGGTTCACCTTGGATATGGGCTTCCACGTTTGTCAACTTGCTCGGCCTATTTGTATGATCCTCTAGCTCGGACTTCACCTCCATGCCATTGACAGGACTTGGAGTGTCCTTTAGGACCTCCTCCATTGTGTTCGTAGTATTTTTAGTATTTTTAGTGGGTTTCTCTATTTTGACAGCACTTTGCATGTTGAAATTGATGGATGGACCATGGGTGGTGCTGAGGAGGTGGAGTGAACAAAGTTGGATAGAGAAGTTTAGGGTGTGCGAATCAGAAATAGGAGACGAGGAGAAATAATTCGGTGAGCTAGCTCAGAGAAGAAGCAAGAATTTGAATGTAACAACACAGAGCATAGAAATGACCCCGAAGTTAAACGGAGGCGATGAGACGAGTTGCTTCGCGGGTTGAAACATAGAATGCGTGGAGATAACAGAATTGGATAATCAAGGAATAGATATGTGAAGGGTTGATTGTAACGAATAGGGTGAAGGATTTAGAGGTACGGACTGGCCATATAATAGAGAGATATTGATGGCCGAGATGGAATAGATGTGAATAGAACGAGGATAAAGCCAAGTTGAGGGTGCCTAAGTGCAAGAAGGAGAATGAGAGATACCTCAAAGGCAAAAAATACATAATTGCCATGCAGAAAAACTTTTGATTGTCACCTTACATCCCTAAGGTCAGTGAGAAATAGAGAGGGTGTATAAATGTGTTGGAGGGAGTGAGAATCAACAAGCAAAAATATCTATACCTCCCGCTAATCCCGGGAATTGCCTATTCAGTAAGCGTGAATAGCCTCAGGTTTGCAACTCGTTATTGCTATTGAACCTGTCTAGGTGACAGGCACTTTCGCCTACATAAGATCAGGCTTTCACGTTAAGATCGGAGGGTATAGCATATTTATTTAACAAATAAATCAATTTTTGCTTCCTATTTACTGTCATAGGGTCACCACCACCAGCTACTTCAAAGAATGACGTATCTTGTGCCTTTGATATTGTTGATCAACATGTCTTTTATAATCTCTCTCATTCACCTCGTTGACTGGAATTCTATCAATATCTCCGTTATCTTAAAGATATTGAAAAATATGTCTCAAAATATATATCGTTCATCCTTATCCGATGTTACCCATAGCAGAATACAACTTTAGTATATATTCTGCCGGTATAATGGTAACTCTCTAAAGAATCGTCTGTAAGGGACTTGTACCTATGACATAGTGTCATATCAATAAGACAGGAATTAAACTCTGAGTAGATGTATAGGCCAGAAAACCTTGTTAAATTTCGCCAATCTTACAGACTATTCTTAGAGCCGTGTAGGTATACGAGAATATTTACGCAAAATGCACTTTGTAGTTGGAAAATAACAGCAAAGATTCATCGACTATCAATAAACTGATCATACATGCCGTGAATCGTGAAAGCATATCCGAAAAAAGGACATAAACCTGAAGATTGCAGATTGTGCCAAATGAAGTGTAGATTTGCACAACATAGAGTCGAGATGATGAGACCACAACAGTGTCAGAACGCGAAAAATCTTCGAAGGCCTTTGTATCCAGGCTACTGGTCCTGGTCCTACTCAAGCTCTTGCTCTGGCTCTGAGTGGCCTTCCTCCTCGCTTTTTTCAGGAGTAGTAGTGCGGCTATCCTCGTTTGGCTCGGGAGTAATAGAGCGACGATACTCGGGTTGCTGGAAATCAAGGATGCGACGAACATCCCTGGGGAAATATGTAGGTGCCTGAACACGGGTATCCTCACGCAGCTGGTAAAGGTTGGAGCGGGCCATAGCTCGTCCTAGTTGGTAGCTTCCTCTAGTCTGCACAGCCTCTCGAACCTGGGCGTTGGTCAGACTCTCCTCATGCAGTTCACTATCATCTTCCTCGGGGACCTGTGCCTCATCAACCCAGAGGGTCCGCAGCACCTCTCGACCATGGCGCATGGGGCGCTCCGTAAACGGGGTGTTGCGGGGAGGGACGAAATCAGACATTTCGCGGTTGAGTGGGAGACCAAAGGCATCGCGGGGGCCGGTGGAAGCTTCATTCCAAGCGAGGTTGGACGGAGTGTCTTGCTCTTCTTCGTCAGAGGTTTCGAGGTCAGACTGAGTTAGAAAGATGTTCTCTTTATCCTCTTCCATGGAGTAGAACCCTTGCTGCGGAGGGCTGGGGGTCTGCTGGTCCTGCGGATCTTCGTAAATGGTAAAGTTGAGGCTCGAAGGACGGTGAGATTCCCAGACGCGCGAGTTGGGGTTAGTCTTGGGTGGAGAACCGGGTAGCTCCCGGGGCTGTAGGGGAGCCATCGAACCGGAATTAAGTTGATATTTGGGGGGTGGAAACCACTCAGATTCTTCAGTCTCCTCGGTTCCTGGATTCAGAAAAATGAGTTGCCCGTCTCATGATTTGAGAATAAACAAAATAACTTACCAAGCCGAGTCAGACGAGACTCATGGACCGCAGGTGTTGAGTACAGCGGGTTTCCGTAGACAGAAGCTAAGTACCAAGGGGAAGGCGCGATGCTTTCCTCAGCTGGATGGCGCTCGCGCTTCGCCCCGGTAGAGATAGACACAGCAAAAGGGTTTTGGTCAAAGTGGTCTTCCACCGAGGGTAGCACGTAGGGAATTGCAGGGTTCGTCTGGATTTCAGCGAGCTAGGTGGTGAACGCGGAGAGCGTCGAGTGTTAGCTTGCTGGGACACAGAGGGATAACGCGCGCAAACGGGGAAAGCGCCGGGATATACTTACCCCATCATCGCCCACTTTAATGGTCACCTCCACGTCCGCGGGATCCATCTTGAAAGACTACTCCGCCGTTCAATTAGTATACCATGCCCTTCGCGAGCGATGTGATGAGTCTATCCATTGGCAATGTCTCCAGGCAACCAATCTGTCTGACTTGTAAAGCTTTTGGGGAGAGAGCATACCTTTAGGAAAGGAAAGAAATGTAGCAATATTCTTGCTCCGAAGGATCAAGTATTGGTCCTCGCTGGTTGGCTCAAGCGCCTTGCCTGTTTCAAAAAGAATGTCAGCATGGAATTAAACGAGGCTCAAAGGCTTGTCAACACAGGGGATATACTTGGCTACTTGGGTTAAAACAAGAGCAACTTGAGGCTGTAACTGTAGCTGTCCTCGATACTCGGTGGCCCAACCAACCCTGCACAGTGTGGTGTACAAGGTCTCGTCGGCACTATGTCGGGTGACAACAAGGAAGACAAGGGATCAAAGACAGAATTGGACTGTATATCTCAGGGAAGGTCGCTAGCTACGCTTACTCTTCGTGTGCTTAGTCGTCGTACGCGTCGCTCTTGGTCGCTCCAACTCTCACCATCTTAGCATTTAGGGTTTTTTATACTATATGGACTCTAACTTCGCAGGCCACTTCAAGTTTAGAAGTATTTCATTGATTTCTAATCATGAACGATAATTATATTGTCTGAAGTTCATGTGTGGCCTAAAATGATACATGCTCATGTTATACTTCGTCTATAGATAGTTAGGGGCAAGGCTTATCACGTGGGCATATATGACATCATAGCATGCACGTTGTGTAATCAGACATATAATATTATAATGAGATCAATAAAGCAAGAACAAGTGAAATTCTCATTGCTGTAGATTGAAATATGCTAATTCACGGTACTGGTGTACCAGGCGCAAGATCAATGGTACGTGTATATATAGTGAACATTCACACAAGTCTAAGCAGATCACAAGGGAGACCCGCAAACACATCAGATACAAACATAATCAACAAAGATACTGAATCCCAAGGACACTGTAGGATATGTAGTATATGCAATCAGAAATGGAACACACTGGAACGACTTTGGCATAAACGAATTAACAGTGTAGAGAAAAACGATACGTAAAATAATCACAGGATAGAAATTTCTAGGGTGACTTGAGATTGGGTCGAGACGTATTACCTATATTTTAGCATGAACATTTTACAAGGAGCCCGGTTTCAAAAAAAGGGATGGATAGATTGAGGTTGGTCAGCTACCTATGGAATAAAGCATGGATCTATCGGCAACTAGCGAAGAACAGAGACCCAATAAAGTCATAGTTTAAGACCGTCCATCCATCACCCTATTATTGTCAACCCCCGGTTCGGTCTTCAGGACTCGACTCATCAGACCCACAGAATACACAGCACGGACGCATTGCCCCTTGAGAGATTTCAAGAACACCGGGAAAAATATGAAGGGGCGAGGAAAAAAAAGGACCCGGTAATAGATGCAGCAAACCACATCAGAGAAGCCAAAGCCAACGCAGCAAAGGCTCAAACGCGGAGGAGTGGGGGGCAGTTATTGGACACGGGCATCATTTTGCCGAAAGGCCATGAGCAAATACATTGGGGCGGAAAAAATAAAGGAAATGGGTATTTCGTTCTCTCGAGGGGAAGTGCGACGTTGCCGTGGGATCTGTGTGGATGGAAAATGAAAAGAGAAAATCACGAGCCCCTGTACATCGGCTTCACCAAGCTAGCGTAGATACTCATGAAATGGTCATGGGCAGTGGTAAATGGTGCGTAAATGTAATCGAGGGGATAGAAATCTTTTTCCAATATTCTCCGTTTATCTGAACTGGCCGGGGCCGACCATGCCACCACGGACGTCACCGCCGTTTGACTGGCCAAACATCTCTAGCAGGTGTCTAGATGAAGGAGGAGGGCCCTGTGGGCCAGGGTTACCACCGAAGGGACCAAGTCCCATCATGGCCTCGGGGTTTGGCGGCATGGGAGGGAAGCCTGGAGGAGGGCCGTTCATATAACCTGGAGGTGGCATCATGCCTGGAGGTAGGCCGCGCGGGAAGCCTTGGCGCTCATTCATTGGGGGCGCGTTGCCGGGCATAGGAAGCATGCCAGGGGGGAAGTTGGGATTCATGCCGCGGCCTGGAGTGGATATTCCAGGAGGAGGGCCCATAGGACTCGATACACCCTGCTGCGGGACAGGCTGGCCAGTCCATCCAAGGGGTGGCAGATGCTCGAGACCCGGGGGTCGCTGAAGTGGCATGGGGGGCTGATTCGCGCCTTGAAGAGGTCGCGAGCCACCTGGGGTCATGGGGCCTTGATTGCCCTGAGGGAATGACATATCGTCAAAGAATCCCATAGGCGGACCATTCGCAGGTCGCCGGCGGAGGTGCTCGCTATCTGGTCGCTGCATGTTTGCAATTGCTGGGTCGTCGAGGAAATTCGGTGTCTTTTGGGCAGAAAGCCCTGGCGGGGGGCGTGGCATGCCTTCTGGCATGAGACCTGGAGGAGGGGCAATACCCGAGTTGGGAGACTGCTGGGATAGATGACCCGCAGATGGTGGACCGACTCGGACTTGCTGCATCAGACGAAGCAAGTGGGCCCTCTCCAGCGCCTGGGGATCCTTGGAGCTAACTTGGGCCATGGGGTTCTCGGGGCCAGCGCCCATGTAGTCGGATCGGTGAGAGGGTTCCCTAGGAGATGACAGAGATAGGGCGGCATGTTGCTGTTCGCCCTGCATCATGGAGATATTCCGTTGCTGCTGAGGTAAACCCATCTCGTGAGGCGTAGAGTTCTCCGAGCGTTGTCCACCAAGCATCTGCAGAATGCGCTGAAAGCCTTCTTGGTCCGCACTGTGGGATGGGAAAGGCATACTCTCAGACGCCTGCTGGGGCTGTTGATAATGCTGGGCCTGGGGAGGGGCACTGAAATAAGGCATCGGCTCGGGTTCTCTGGCAGGGCTCTCTGGCATGGGGCTAAAGAGACCTGCAAAACGAGATGATTTTCCAGGCTTTCCGGCAAAGAGGGAGGGTTCCTTTTTAGCAACTGGATCGGCAGCGATAGGAGTACTGGCTTCTGGGGTCTGAGGCTGAACCTTCGAATCGCTCAGGAGTCCGAAGAATCGTTCCATCGATTCGTCGGACATAAACTGAGCACCGGAATTACTGAAGATCTCACCATCAGTGCGGCGGGTCTCCGGCTTTTGTTCTTCAACATGTGCTTCTCTCTTCTCCTCAGCAGGTGCCGGGGTTTGTGCGGATGATCCAGATCCAGATCCAGCCTTCATACGCTCCTTCCACCGCTCAAAGTCCTCCTGGGTGTGCGCTCGTCGTGGTTCGTCTCGTTCATTGGCATCCAGCCATTCAGGTTCTTGTTCAAATTTGGCGCCGCGGTTCCACTCACGCTCGGTGCCGTGTCGGGTCTGGTTTTGGCGCCATTCTCGGTTGCGCAACGGCGGTTTATCGTCATCCGCATCAGCGGCTTCTTGGGCCTGTTCTTCGCGGAACCAGCTTCCTTCATATTTGGATCGTGGGGGCTGTCCTTCTTTCCGAATGGGGAATCGGCCATCTTTGTCACGGGGAACCCGTTCAGCATTTGGATCGCGGGGCCCTTCTTTGTTTTCCCATCTGTCGAATTCGCCGTTTCGTCGAGGCTTGCGCTCTTGCTCATCTGGGCCGAATGTGCGACGTGGGCGCCCGGCATTCCAGTCTTCTCTCTCACCACGCCGGGCAGTCAGTGGCCCCGGCTTGGCCTCCCGTCGATCTAACTCTTTCTCTGGGGCATCGCGGTCCTTGAACAACCTGTCTCTGAAGTTGAATCGGTCGTTCTTCGTTTCATCCGAATCATTTGGCCGTGCCGCTGGTCGGTCCGTCAGATCGAACGAGCCTTTGCCGCCAATGCGAGATGAGGCGAAGGCGGTTTTGGGGGGACCGAGTACAATATCCTCTGAAAATAGAAGAAATCCAATTAGCAAATGCCTCAGATAGGTCGGGATACTTGATGTTCGACAGAAAGGGAGACAATAATACCAGAATTAGATCCCCGAGAGATATGTTTGGCTTCAAAAAAGCTAGGTCTTCTGTTTGTGCCAGTCTCTGCCGGACTGTTGACATCACGGGCGCCATGGGTTTTGCGTTGTGTGGTTGTTTGGTCAGGTTGAGGCCTACAGGTTGCGGTCAGTCTTGAAGGTGACAGTGCGGGACAGCTGAAGAATTGCAAGCATTGGAGCTACCATACATCCACTCTTCCATTGGAGGCAGACCAGCAGGCTTTGCGACAAGGGGCGAGCCGCGGAGCCATATCAGCTCATCGATCTCGTACCGTCGCGCCATGGCGGCTCGGTTTGTGGGGTTGTGTGTGCGTGGTCTTCTTCACGGTGATGATCGGTTCATTGGTTGAATGAGTAACAAACCCAGATTGAGTAACCAAGGATGAGACGCGAAGGTATGAAATATTTCTAGCAAAATACGTTGAATAGGAAGCAGGCAGCGTTGGGTGGTTATGGAAAAGAGGTTGGATGAGGAGAAGCACACAAGCCACCTTGTGGCGATGGCGGTGACCAGAGTCTCGGGAGCCAACTCTCCACTTGCCAGTTGGTCCTTTGATCTTAGAAATTTATATATCTTTCACTCTTACTCCTTACTACGTATAGTCTTGATATTGCAAACACGATAGTGTTATACAGTAGTTAGTGAAAGCCCAGATAGTCACCTTATTTTCATGTTCAAAATACATGTGGCATAGATCTATAAGACAAGCGACCCTCATAAGCGTACATGTACTCTGTCGCCTGAATACCCTTCACTATAATTTCTGTAACTAGTAAAAGCATTATTCGGGAGTGTTAAAAAAAAACAATATTAGCTATAGAACAAAATACGGGTGTATATGTGAAAAGCAGCGACTGTTTCATGTATACCAAAGCGACAGGCTTTATTTAGGGTTAGGCGTGTGTCGCTATTCAAAGTAAAAGTTTAAAGTTTAAGTGTGAGAGCTAGATGATATTTCATTTATATTGCATTGATGATAATATAGATCGTGGAAGCTTATATTGATACCAGTATATATGTCAGAATTGGGAGTTGAGGTAGCATGAAAGCTATATAAAAAGACATCTGAAGGAGAATCAGTACGATATAGGTCTATATGTATAGGAGACTCGTATTATAAAATACTGCAGAAAATTCTTGGATTGTACTAAAAGACATGGAAGATTGCTTGTTGAAAACAACCAGCCGAACACAATAGATCTCAGAGCTGTTCTAACATATCGAAAGAAGGAAGATCATCTTCTGTTGGAGAAGATAATTCCAAGATAACATAATGATTATTCCAGCCACAAGCTAGATAGACCATCGTAAGAGCACAGCAGCGATTATGACGGGCAATACGCTAATTAGCTCCCCCAGACCTGCAAACTCGGGCGGAATTCTGACATTCACAAAAGCCCCAGCCGCAAGTAGCACGGCAAATGTGTTGTAGACAAAACTCCAAACGAAATTGAACTTGATACGTCTCATAGAGACCTTGCTGGCATCCATCATGGTGAGAAGGCCAGACAGATATGGACGCATAAGCACGACATCGGCTGCAGACTGGGCAACATCACTGCCTTCGTTTATGTGAACGCCGACTGTTGCTTGCGCGAGCGCCACGGCGTCATTGGTGCCATCCCCGCAAAAGATGACAATCGGCTCCTTACCACCTGAAAGACTGCCTAGGAGATCTTTGATGTAGACCTGCTTGTCCGCTGGAGAGCTACGAGCACGAATGTTGCTCTCGGGGATAGCTAAATTTGTCGCCACGTTTTGCACGGCGCCTTCGTCGTCGCCCGATACCACATGAACCGTCACGCCGCGTCTCTGTAGGGTATTGACCACATGGGGTGCATCAGCTCGGAGAGAGTCCTCAAGACCAAATACAGCGAGTAGCACACCATTGATGGTGAAGCAGAACACAGTATAGCCTTTTGTAAGCACCGGTTGCACCAGGGGGTGCGTGGAAGTCTTCAGCCAGCGAGAATTCCCAGCTTGTAGCGTTTGACTACCAAGTTTAGCTTCCACACCTCGGCCTGTCAAGCTTTTGACGTCAGGGACAGCTGTTGCAACAATCCCCTTGTGCCTAATATGATTACCAACAGCAACCGATACCGGGTGCTTGCTGTCACCGATGAGGCCCAAAAGAAGTGACAGGCATGATTCCTCGTCTCCGAGATAACTCTCAACGACTACGCTGAGCTTTCCCTGAGTCAGCGTTCCTGTCTTGTCAAGGACCACATGAGAGGCTCTATAGGCGACTTCGATAGAATGCGCCGACTTGAATATAACCCCTCGCTCTGCTGCGATACCGCTGCAGATGACAACCACCATCGGTACGGCAAGACCAATGGCACAAGGACATGAAACTATAAGCACCGTGATGGCGTAGGTGACAGCCTGCACGGTTGCTTCGGATCTAGTCTTAGCTTGTATTGATATGCCAAGAGCCACCCAAATAACAAATGTGGCAATAGTCAAGCCTACAATAACTGGAACAAAATATGAAGCCACCTTGTCGGCAAGTTCTTGAATCTTTGGTTTGGAAAGCTTGGCTTCATCGACCATGGCGGCGATAGTGTTAATAGCGTTGTCGCCTGGGAGGCGAGTTAGCCTGACAATTAGACTTGCCGATCCGTTGATTGTCCCTGCAATGACACGCGACTTGGGTTTCTTTTCGACATGCCGCGACTCTCCGGTGAGCATTGACTCGTTCACTTCAGATGACCCAGATACAACAGTCCCGTCGGTCGGGATTCTCATATCGGGAAGGACCTTGAACCTGTCTCCGTATTGCAGTAGCCTGACGTCGATTTCACGAGCATCTATTGAAGGTGATTCGTCCACAAGAAGGGCAGTTTGGGCCTGAAGCGATCGAATAGATATTGACTCGACCGCTTTTTGTCGGGCAAGTGTAGCGACATATCGTCCGAACATGATCAATGTAACTAGAAGTGTGCTTGTTTCAAAGAATTGGCCAGTGGAAAGAGGTCTACTAGCAACGAGAAAGCCGAAAGAAACCACAGAGAAGATATATGCCACGCTGGTGCTTAACACAATAAGAAGGTCCATCTCGATGACTCGCGAAAAGACAAGAGCCTTCAAGGCTTTGGGATAAAAAGGTCCTGCTATGACAACCTGAATGATAGTAGCCAAAGCCAGCGAGGCGGAGCTATAGGCGATTTTTCTCTCGGAGATGGGGGCCCATGCCATGATTAAGACTGGGATGGTAAGAACTGCAGATAAGAGAGTCATGAACCCGGAATGGCGGACATGCTTGCTACCAGCTGCAAGTGTTGGATCACCAGAGATGGGCGCAAGGCTTGCTATATCACCCCAGTGCTTTTCAATGAGATCTCGTGCTCCAACCACTTCTGGATCAAAAGATACACGAATAGTGCAATTTCCGACGAGCGAAATGTCACTCACACCTTGCGGCCAAGCCTGGTTGACGATCAAACCTGGATCCCCAGAAACAATTATATCCATAGCTGACCCATTACTGGCGATTATCTCACATTTGAACTCTGTGGTCCGCTCCAAGTGCTTTATAACAAGCTCCACAGTAGAGATACTGAGGTCCAAGTCGAATTCAGCTCGAGATAGAACCAAACTTGTCCTCAAGTTCCCAACCCCTGACATTATCGCGAGGGTTCTGTTGAGTTTCGTCTCACAGCCAGTGCAAGTCATACCAGATATCGAGAGGACCACATGCTCAACGCCTATGGCCTGACCCTCGAGATCAGGGGCAATTCTTACAGCCCCACCCTTCTCGTCGTTGGGTAAGGATGGCTTTTCGGAGGTACAGCAAATATCAGCACAAGAGCCATCCGCTGGCTTTATCTCTGACTTATCTGATTCGGAGATACAGGGGTCGGTGAAGTTGTTGCCGCAGGTGGTAATTTTGGGTTTGCAGCAAGAGTTGGTGGAGCAACCTTGGCTGGCACGAGTTTTAGTTACACGTGCAGGCTTGTACTTTCCGCCATGGTCGGTACTTCGAAGCGGCGATTGACTTGAAGATTTACTACTTGCGCAGCAAGATTCAACCGAGACGCACGAGACAGACTGTTTCAGTGGCCGTTCAGAGCTCCGACCCTTACCCAGCGAAGAGCGCTTTCGAGGCTCGCAGCATGATTCCTTGCCAAGGGCAAGAAGAGCACGGCAGATACACCCCAGTGCTGTAAGCCTAGCAGCATACTGCTCTCTAACTGAGCGATGGTGTCGATTGCAAGCTCTGCCCTGAAGCGTTGCACCTTCTGTCGGTGTGGATGTCGAGGAAAGAGCTGCATTAGACCCAAAATTAGTAGAGTACTATGACATAAGCCATTTATATTCAACATACAGTAACCAGCTGCTTCCATGCATGGTATATCTGACCCCGTATGACACTCACGTAAAGCCAGACGATCAAGGCAGGCTTCATCACAGCATGGCGAAGGCTTGTCTTGGCAGCACTCTGCCACAATAGGTTCAACGGAAGTAGCATGTTCACTCGACCATGGGGTACCGGAGCCGGTGTGTGTGTGAGGGTGGCCCGAAGAAACACTAGAGCTTAAAATTTTAGATTTGGCGGTAAAATTTCCTGCGCAACAAGCTACGTTAGCGGAAAAAGCATCAAGACGACGGATATTCTTACCAGCAGCCGAGGCAGACTGGTCGCAGCAGCCTTCCTCGCAAGCCCCAGGCAGAGCTGCACCCTTACAAGGATCAATAGGGTCCTTGTATACGGGGTCATCACGCTGGGCAGCGGAAGTTGCATTGGCATTATTATCATCTGTTTTGTCGTTCTTTCGGATAGCGCCGTTCCTATAAGACTTCTCTTGACTTGAAGTCTCCGATGAACTGCCACAACAATTCGATGAACTATTCGATTTCTTCAACTCAGCTTTATCAATCGCATCCGCTTGAGAGGGCGTCCTTTCACAGCAAGAGCGTCCCATAATGCTGGTTGGATAGTTCAACGTGGAGTCGTGGGAGGATTGTGGGGATCTGGGACCGAGGAGTGGGGTCGTCTTTTGGCTTGTTTGGCTTGTTTGGCTTGTTTGCAGGGAACTACTATTCGTAGTACGTACTAGTACTGCTTAATTAACCCTAGAGAGCCTTTCACTAACTACTTACACGCCAGTTACCGTATTTGAGTAGTAAACCAATTCATTATCCTAGCAAATCATTTCAAGCAAAGTCGAGCAGAGCGTTTTGTTGTGTACTCTATGCTTTCTCTATGTGAAACCGAGGTGAAACAAGAAAACTAGATGTTGGATGGTAATGTGATTCCCGGGGCCCCGCAATTTAGATACTCCGTACAGTGCTGCAGTATGTACTATGTAGTATGTAGTATGTACGGAGTACTACCATGCTCGTGAAGAATACTTCAAATACAGCTATTGCCCGCTGATACGGATGTGTACGAATGCTTGGCAGTTTAACCTTACAAGGTCCTCCGTGCTTCCAAGGTTGCATTTTTATCAGTGGAGCCCAGGTCCGGTGTTTATGTACATATCCCGAAGTCCGTTTTAGGCAATGAATATCCAAGGCAGGGGTCCACTTAGGACGCCAGCCTACATTCTATTGGTTCCTGGTAATTGCATTAAACTCAAAGCACGTGGAAATGAAGTTTCGGCCGAACCGGCTATGTCTCGGAACCGACAACCGGCCCCGGTAGTGCAGGCCCTAAGTCGTTCCCTCCTTTTAAAACTCAGCCCATTACCGTTGCAACTTGCAAGTTGGCCTTGGATTCCCCGCAATACGCCCTGCAGCATTCCACAACATCCATACTTACCCTTTGGGACAGAGCGAAACACGAAGCTGCCGAGCCGACCGAGCCGAACTATATACTTCGCCTTGAACAGGCAGCACCACAGTTTCTGGGGATTGGATGCTCGATAATTATACCAAATGATCTATTGTGCCTACCAGGCCTGTCGATTATTGAAAAGGCAGCACATCCACTGGAATAGGTGTTGAGGCAGCCTTTCTTCCTCTCTGTCCCTCTCAGGGAACAGCTCAATTCATTCCATGTTTTTCTTTCTCATTCCTATTCACTACAATAGGACGGCATTCTTCAACTCCGCATGGTTTCCATTACGTGGTGCACGTGTGCGTATGGGGTATACTGTGTGCAAAGAAACAAGAAGTAAATGACATTCGAAAAACTGACTATGACAGAGACCACCCACAGCCATAAAGACAGGGAAAAACAGGACAAAAAAGCAGTCGGAAGGATACAGGCTGGGCAACAACAAACCGAACACTTGACTCATGGCTGGCAGTTGACCACTGTGGTGATCATTCAATGATGCCCCGAACTGGAACCCGGCTTCAGACAGTATATTTTCTGCACATCCGCCAACTCAGCCTCGAAATCGATCTCAAGGTTTTTCAGCAGACCGTCGGCCAAATCAAAAACCCAACCATGAACGATGGGATACTGGTTCTCTTGGTAGCTTTGTTGGACAGCCGCGGTTTTGATGATATTCCTACAGGATTCAATCACATTGAGTTCAATCAATCGATTGTATCGGTCGTGCTCGTCGGATATTTCGTCAAGTTCTTGCTCGTGCAAGCGATAAACATCGCGGATGTTTCGCAGCCATGGGTTAAGCAATCCCAGATCAGCAGGTGTCAAGGCCGCCTGAACACCTCCACAGTTGTAGTGGCCGCACACGATGATATGCTTGACTTTGAGGTGCCGCACGGCATAGTTGATCACCGACATGACGTTGAGGTCAACATTGGGCACTAGGTTGGCGATGTTACGGTGAACGAACACCTCGCCCGCCTCCAGACCCATGATTTCGTTGGCGGGGACACGGCTATCGCTACAGCCTATGTACCTGATTGCCGTTAGACGAAAAAGACAAAGTTGGAGCCTATGTTGCTTACAGATAGTCTGGTGATTGTCCAGCAGCAAGCTTGTCGAAAAAGGTCGCATCCGTCTCTTTTTTCGACGCGACCCATATCTTGTTGTTTTGGAAGATATGGTCGAGCGACTGTTGGAGATAGTGATTGCCGTTCGGTTCGGAGGCCATCTTGTCAGAGTGTACAAAAACTTGGCAAATATGAACGTGGTTTGAGGTTTTGGTGGTCTCACGCAGAGCAGGGAGCAGATCCGAATCTGTTGGGACCTGTCGAGGGGTTTGTGCTTATATAAGCACGTGTCAAGACCTCGGGACCATCCGCAACCTTTTCCAAGGACCCGGTCCTTTGCCTTCGGGTATTGAGTTATCACGGTCTAACGGAAACTCTTAGTGTCAATTTTACACCGACTATTTCGACTACAGCTTCACTATCTCAAGAGTAGCCAGCCACTTATGCGGTCTGTCATGTCTTTTGGGTAGTATTTCTGGATGTCTTGTTTCGGATATCCCTTATCGGTTTTATAGCTAGACGGCAGAAAAAGGCGGAAGAAAGTGTAGAATCCTTCGTCAAGGATGTTATAAACCAATGACGCCATGACTCTGATTCTGCCATTCACATTCTACGGTCAGCATCATACCGCCGCCCGCACTGAACCGCCGCGTTTCCAAGGTCGCACACCTCGGCCCGTGTCGGAGCGGCACGCAAGAAGTTGACACTCGGGTGAGATAGCCAGGGGAAATAGATCGGCGCCGGCCCGCGCGGATTCGAGCTCGTAGCTCTCGAGCAAGCCGAATTTCGGGTGCCAGGTGCACGATAAGCCGGCCCCACACTGACGCCGTCCGACGAGATCTGCAGAAGCTGATCGGGTAGCGGCTGGAGGACGAGAAGCGGAAGCTCTTGAGCAGCTTACCTGCTCGCAGCCGATGTGCTGACCAGGCGGCTCATGTCGTCGCTCGCGAGGCTGGGGATGCATGCTCTTGCCGTCCCAGGGTGGCCGTCCATCTGCGCCTGGAGCAGGGACACTTTGGTTGGGTCATCGAGGTGCAGGCCGGCAAGACGGTCCCGTCGGGAGACCATGCAAGCAGTCCTAGATCTAGATGGTGGAATGAGTAGCGCTTGCGCTTCATTTTGTGCAGTTCACGATGTTGACGACACTTTCTCTTTTCCTCCCCGGGATGGGCTGCTACTCCGCTCAGACGATCACTCTCAGTTTGACTTGCAACTAGGGGTCGATCATGGCTCGGACCACAAAATTTTCGTATTCTTTAAATTTCGATATTTGATCCCTACTTTATCTATGTCCATCTCCTGGACTGAGACCCGAGAAAGCTGTGGAGGGAAAGTTTTCGATGACCTTTGGAAATTGGTGGGTCTAGACGTTCATCCCAGAAGAATAGGATAGTGATGCAGAATATGCTAGATTGTGAATTATGCTACAGTACATTAAAAATGCGACCTACAACTTTCGCAAAGCTCCGTCGTTCAGCATGAAAAATAACAGTATCAATCCTATGAATTTCCGACAGGTTTGAACAACTGGTCCTTCGGGTGTGGGGGATAAATACGGGGCGTTGTAGCTGCCACCGATGCCAGGTACCAAAAATACTATTTGGTGGAAAGCATGGTGTTACTTTCAATGGCGTGGCTATCGATGATCGGTGAATACTGGATCATCCACACGTCGTTCACTACTTGGCGGAGTATGCCTGTTTCCTCGTAGGTCGAGTGAAAGGCAAATGGAAGCCCTTGATCAATCATGTACTCGACCACTTGGCCGATTGTATGACGCATCACATTCACGTTGCTGAACCGACCTCTCAGTTTGTGTACCTTAACCCACGGAACTTTGAGCTCCCCCACGACTCTGAGTGAAAGTGAAAGTGGAGGATTATCCGATACCAAGGCAACATCAGGTACCTTGGTATATCCAGTTCCAACCGACTTAAAGTCAGCAAACCGGATATTCACGTGTTGTGCCCTGAAGACAGCTCCAAGAATCTGCCCCACAGATTGTTCGAACTGTCCCTGAACGCCTGTTTCATCGGCAACATAGACTTCTTCTTCTCTCAGGTCCCGACCGTCAATTTTGTAGTCGATTATGGCTTGGGATCAGCTTGTCGACATGCTAGCCCGGACATCGGCATCGAAGGTTTGCCATCAAGATAGACGACCCGTATATCTAATACTGTGCAAGGCAGAGGATTTGGTCGTGTTGGGGGCAATCCGAAGGCCTGGGAGAGCACTCTTGACTGCATCTTTAGAAGGACCTTCTCAGGCATTATCTGAACAAGGCCTTTTGTCAGTATACCAATTAAGCTTCACGTGCAAGACTCTTTGGTAATACCCACTAAGAAATAGGAAATTGAAGATGCGCAAATTGCTGGGTTGGGAAGCAATCAATAAGAGAGAGTGAATATCTAGATAGATGGTGATGATGATGATCCAGCTACTCCCACGAAGCCCTCTGAATAGTTCCTGGAGACAAACGGCCTGGAAGCCACAAAGGTCTCAGAGGGGCCTTGAATGGCAGAGAAAGCCCCAGTGTATGCCTAAATGTATCAAAATCAAACCTCCGGACATTGAACGAATTATAGAGAAAGAGCTGATATATCTCGAATGAGGTGCGACTCATATCATAGGCCATTAGGTATATTACCTGTTGTTACTTCTCCTACACTAAGACCTAGATAACATCCAGCCCATATTTGAGCAGTAGACGAGGCAGAAGTAGGCGTTTGTTAGTACACCTGCGGTAAGATGGGCCCAGCAGCATGCAAAAAAACCTAGTACGTAGAGTCAAAGTAATGATGCAGACTGCCTTTTTGAGTTGATATACCCACACCCCTAAGATGCCTGATTCTTGCCACATTCCTTAGGCATTTGATCAATTAGATACTATCTAGCATCTAGCATTGAGATCCCCTTTTTCAGAATTGAACTATCTTGATTATTGGTGTTAAATAGCTTTGGAGGATCTTTTGATGGGACGACGGTAAGTGTTAGATCATCTCCATATGGCTTGGTGGGTGATTAATCAGATGTTAATAGTTTGGTGTCTGGTTTACTTTAAATTGACCTCACAAATTTGTCGTCATTTCCATCGTCACCTTGATCTGACCTTCCTCTATCTACAATTCATTCCATATCACAACATCTTCCCTATCGGACACTCACGATGCCCGAAAGAGAGCCTCGTCAGTTTCTTCCCCAGATGATTGGTGAAGGGATCATTACCTACTGCCCGGATTCTGATGACCCTGTGTTATCTTCTTTTTACAAAGCGCGCCAATGGGTCATCGTGGAGAAGCTGGATGAGGACCCATACACGGTTACCCCAGAGGATTCCGACCAAGGCATGGGCCCCGCATTTACTACTGGAAAATTTCTTTGTCGCCGTGGACAGCACGGATACCATGCCTTCATACATATCTACAAACAAATCCCTCTGGATGGCACTGAATTCAATAGGTCGGAGGATCGGGAGAATCAGGCTTCCGATATGTCCCCTGTGGAGCTAAATGCCCTGAAGAAGTTTACAGAGAATGAGTATGCCGCTGCTCCTAAACTGCTTGGATATCAAATTGATATATAAGATCCGACCGACCTTGTTTCTGGCGGATTTATCATATACCTTATATTTGACAAGGTCCCAGGACGTCCTCTTGAATTTGACAAGTTCTGGAGCTTTCCCTTACGCAAACGCAGGACTATTCGTGAGAAGTTCAGAGTCGCCTATATGTTTGTTATACAGTACAATTATGATCACGTTCTTCAAGCTAACTAGAATTAGGGAAATTCTGAGGCTTGGGTACCAGCCTTTGGAACCATCCTCATTACAGCTCATATACGAGAGAGAGGAAGATGATATGTATATTCTACTATACCCCTGATACTCTCGAATCTTAAGCTGATAATTCATAGCACAATCACCGGTTTTGATACAGCTATGAAGATTGATGAAGAGCCTTACTGGACAGACAACAACTTCGTGATATATAACCTAGTTCTGCTTCCCTCGAAATATGAGAAGTACGTTCCCAAGAAGAAGGATATCAAAACCGATAAGAACGGCTGGAGGTGGTGAGAAGGAGAATTGATGTCAAAGAAGGAACCATGGGGCAATCTCTGTCGCTCAGTCTCATGTGTTTGACCAACTAGCTTACAAAGAATACTACCAAGATCTATCACAAACGATTCTCTCTATTCACTTTAAGTACTAGGAAAGTCTCACTCCCGTAGAATCGCTCACTACAATTTCTCAACTCTTCAGTCTACGTCCACGTCTCTGTAGAGCTATCTCCATAGAAATTCCGCTAGTAGGCCTTGAAATAAAGGATTTGGGAGTCTTTGGTTGGAAATGTGTTCACCCCTTCCACAATTTTCTCCTAGACCACAATCTTCTGCGGATATATTGCCAATATGCTATCCTCACCGATTCACCCCTGCTTTTCTAAGCTGACCATATACTTTTTTCAATGTATCGGACATCACAGCCTGTCTGCCCAGTTTCTAAATACGAAGATGTCATTCACGTCACCACCGCCTAACTGATGAAAAGGATAAGGCTGACGTCGAGAGCCTCATATCTTGGCATCTTGGCATCTTCAAAGCGGAAGCTTGACAATAGAAGCATTTCAATAATTTTTGACGATTGCGCACTGTACTACTTCACCCGTGACTAGGGTTGGGGGGAGGGGGGAGGTGAGAGGCTCTGGACGTTTGAAAATTGCGAATCTGGAGCTATAATGGTTTCAACGGAGCAACTACAAACTTGGGAAAGATCCTCGAGTGCGCCTACAGCTGTCACTGGGTCCGTGAGATGGTCAGTGTTACATTCCTATACCGATTCGTCATTCCTCCTCACCATCCCGTGCTGTCGCAGCCCACTCTCCTGCAGAAGCTTCATCTTAACCGGAGAAGGAGTCGATAGTCCAATGCAACGCTATAACGCAATTGAAGCAGCAAATTTGCCCTTCACCGAAATTTCTGTTGGTTCTCTGTATTTATTGTTGATTTTCTCCATTGGCAAACGTCGGTCCACCAGCTGCTTTTGATTCCCAATGAGTATGTAGACTGTACTGGTTCATCAAAGACTATGCAGAACTGACATTCTGGACAACACCAGGTAATAGTGAGACCATCCTTACAGACACCTCGGTGGTGGCAGCCCGCGGAGTGAGCGAGGTGAAGTCGCTGCATTTGGATGAAGGGTTAGGGGGGGACTCTCAGGCATCGCAAGAATCCCAGGAACCCTATGATGATGTGTTCACCCCTCCAACCGATGAAGAAAATCAAACATTGCGCAAAGTGGCCGCCAATCTCCCGTTGGTTGCTTTTTCCCTCTGCCTGGTCGAATTTGCCGAGCGCGCGTCCTACTATGGGGCACAGACACTCTTCTCCAACTTTGTGGAATTCCCACTGCCCGAAGGTGAGCCTCATTTTCAAATATTCAGTGTCGAGAGTGTCATCCCTAAACAAGTATAATACACAGGTGGCAATGGCGCCGGTGCTCCTCCGCGCGGAACCCAAAAGACAGCCGGAGCTCTGGGATGGGGATTACAGGCCAGCACCGGCTTCGTGCTTCTATTCAAATTTTTGGCCTATATTGTCCCCATCTTCGGTGGTTACTGGGCAGATACTTATGTCGGGCGGTATAAGGCCATCATCATTGGTGTGTTTATCTGCGGCGTTGCCCATATCATCCAGATCGTCGGCGCGATTCCCTCTGTTCTCCAGAAAGGCAAAGCCAACGCAGCTCCACCGTTTGTCATTGGCCTCTTACTTCTTGCCATCGGTGCCGGTATTTTCAAGCCGAATATCTCTCCCACTGTTCTGGACCAGCATAAATCCCAGACGCCGTACGTGAAGACTCTGAAGTCGGGTGAGAACGTTATTGTCGACCCCGAAACCACCAATACTCGGACCATGCTGCTGTTCTACATGTTTGTTAACATTGGTGCTTTCTACATGTTAGCGACAACCTACGCGGAGAAGTATGTTGGATATTGGCTTTCCTTCCTGCTATCGGGTATCATTTACTTCTTTCTTCCAATCCTCCTCCTTGCTGTCTATAAAAGGACCAAAAAGCAACCTCCCAGTGGAAACAAAGAGCTCGCCGAAGCCTTTAAAATTGGATGGACTGCTCTTGTACAAAGCAAATTCCAGTTCTGGCGCAAAGACTTCTGGGATTTAGCAAAATCTGCCAACCTTCGCAGTAAGGGGATCGAAGTTAGTTGGACAGATACCTCAGTATCAAAAGTTGCGAAAACAATTGGTATCATCATCCCTCAGGCATATTGATCAACGAATTCTAACATCATTAACAGAGGCATGCGACATCTTCTGGTTTTTCCCCATCTACAATTTAAACGACGGTGGTATCGGCTCAGTCGCCACGAACCAAGGCGCATCAATGATCACAAACGGAGCACCCAACGACCTTCTCAACAACTTCAACCCGCTAACGATTATCGTTGTCATCCCGATCCTGACTTTCGTGATCTATCCGTTCCTTGAGCGGCGCAAGCTGAAGCCTGGCTCCATAACCCGAATGACGATTGGGTTCGCTGTTGCCACTTTAGCTGGCATAGTCGGTGCACTAGTCCAATGGAAAGTGTACCAGCTCTCACCATGTGGCACTCACGCATCAACGTGTGACGACGTCGCCGATATCAGTATCTGGTGGCAAATTCCCAATACATCTCTCAGCGCCATAAGTGAATGTTTCGCCAACGTCACGGCGTACGAGGTGGCCTATGCTCGTGCCCCAAAGAGTATGAAAGGCCTGGTGATTGCTGTTTTCCTTTTCATGACGGCCCTATCTAGCGCTCTTGGTGAGATTCTTATCCCGGCGACTGCGGACCCATGGTTGATCTGGATTTGGGCTGGTCCTGCTGTCGCCCTGGCGGTTCAGACTGTTATTTTCTGGTTCCGGTTCAGGCATTTGAACTCTGAGAACTACTTCGCCGATAATGTTGTTTCTGATCTGGTTGAGGAGGAGCAAGTGTCACTTAAAAGGGAAGCTTGAGTTTCATCGTCTAACAACGCAAAGATTGGAGCGGGGCACTGCTTGTCTTGTTTCATGGATGACGAAGTGCAATATATTTGCCAACTTCATTCACTCTCCTCTACTATTCAAATCTTTTCGGAAGAACGCTTGACTTAAGATAGACAGACCTTCTCTGTAATCATCTGACTGGAGAAGGGTCTTGTGCCGGCTACTGATACGGTTACGTTCGAGTAAAACCAAGTGAAGTAATGGATTTTAGTAGAGCAGATTATATTGAGCTATCTGACCGGAACATAGAGAATTGTCGCAAGTTCTAGTCCACCGTTGTGGAGCCAAGCCAAGCGCCTGTGATAATTTCCAATCCGTCTTTCAACCAATCCGTTTCCAACGTTGTTGCAAAGTCGAACCCATGGTCAGCATCTAGGCCATGAAGCTTAACAATTGCATCGGGCGCTTTTTCTCGCACTAAATCAAAGAATCGCTGGGAGCCCTCAAATGGCACAGCTGAATCCTGCTTTCCATGGAAAATGAAAGTTGGAGGAAGTTTCAGACCTCCGGCAGCAGCGAGATTTTCAACCCTCTTCATAGGGAAGAGGTAGTCTTCTGACCCGAGGAACTCTAGCAATCGACCATTTTGGAAAATCGAGAATGCCAGCTTTAGACGATCTGGGGGATCTGCAGCAGTAGCCACAGTGGGCAAGGGTGCGGTTCGCATGGCTGCAATGTGTTCTTCAATAATTTCATTCGGCATGTTGGGAATTCCAAGGATAGTTTTGGGATATGCCTCTGTGTAGAACTTTGATTTCAAATCAAGAACTGGATAGGCTGCGATGACAGCACGAATTTCTGATGGGTAGCTGAGTGCCAGTTGAATAGCCAGATAGCCGCCTCACACTCAAGTCAGATCATTTGTTCATGCAAGAGTTCACTACAAAAGACTCACCCGCGCTTTCCCCCACAACGATGAGCTTGTCGAGATCAGGGACAATATGACCATATCCAGCATCTTCGATTGTTGCAGCAAATTTTGTGCTGTGTATCCAATGCCAAAAATCGTCCATGTCTTCCAATATATCCTTTCCCGATACTTCAGGCAGCAAACGGTAGTCTGGAGCCACGATAATTGCCCCTGTTGATATAGCGTAGTCCAACGTCCAATTCGCGAACCAAACAGGATAGCGACTAGAACCAGTGACCTACAGGCAAGTTAATTCACAGTCGAAGGATTGTGTAGTCTTCTTAGTGCAAGTAGCTCATACCAAAAATCCGCCATGAATCCGTATCATGACTGCACATTTCGAAAGTTCTTGCTGTGATAGTATAGCCCGAGGGATGAGAATATCTACATTGATGTGAGAACGACCCTGGTTGAAGCTCTTATAACTCGTGTTGATCACTTGAAATGGCTCATATTTATCAGCGGTGTCAAACTTCGAGAAAATTTCCACCAAGTGGAGATAAGGATCGGTTGCCATATTGATGCTCGATATGGGAGGAGATGGGGCAAGGAGGTGGGGTTGTTCGTTCGTTTATGTACCTTGCGCCTTCGCATGACCTAAAGGGGAAATGGAGCGAAAGCGAAGAGCCGAGTACATACGTACCCCAAGACCCGCAAGGTTCGGCTAGTCTGTAAGTCATAGAGCTACGGACTTGACTAAGCAAATGAAAGCATAGCCGTACGATAGTGGCAGTATATAATACTGGCATTGTTGGAATCTTGCGCTTTGTCATTGAAGTCTAGTTAACTAGCGACTGCACGAACTATGCAAACAAACCAGGAGATGTAATTGTTTCACAGCTGAATAGAGATGTACATGGTGCAAACAGAGCAAATAGAGCAAACACAGCAAACAGCTGATCGGCATATCGGCGATCGGCGCGTTCCCCCGCTGTAAAGTGATTGCGTAACTACAGGAAAAAAGAAAGAACCTCCAACAATTTGGCTATTTCGGCCCATTTATCTGTCCAAGCTGCACTGTAACCTATTGCGATCTATACCTCTCCATTGACTCGCCATCGATAGACTGGAACCTCTGGTTAACCGACAAGATGGGCCAGGACATGTCCCCGCCACAGGGCGTCACATCCCTTCTGGACACGGATCTATACAAGCTGACGATGCAATGCGCGGTCCTCAAATACTTCCCGGATGTTTGTAAGTAGCCCTAACCGAGTAATGGGGATCTGGGCTGATCTGGGCGCAGATGTGGCCTACGGCTACACGAATCGGACCCCGCAGATGAAATTGCATCGCGGGGCATACAAATGGCTTCTAGAGCAGATGGACAGTAAGGATATCCCTTCTTGTCGCAATCGTACAGCTTCTAACCAATTTGCGTGTAGAACTGGCCGTAATTCGCGTCACCGCCGAAGAGCGCGAATGGCTCCGCCAAAAGTGCCCCTACCTCAATGATGAGTACCTCGCCTTCCTAGAGACCTTCCACCTCAGACCCTCCGAGCATATCAAGATTAAGTTCATTCCGGAAGAAGATACGGGCAGCGATGACGACCCAGGAGACGTGGAGTACATGGTTGAGGGTCTCTGGCTCGACACCATCTTGTATGAAATCCCGCTGCTGGCGTTGACTAGCCAGGCATATTTCATGTTCACCGACAAGGACTGGGACTATGAAAACCAGGAAGATAAGGCATACCGAAAGGGTTGCACTTTGCTCCGGAATGGCTGTGTGTTCTCTGAATTCGGTTCGCGCCGTCGCCGCGACTACCATACCCAAGATCTGGTTATGAAGGGACTCTGCCGTGCGGCAGAGGAGGGAAAGAAGCAGGGCTGGCCCGGGGTGTTAGCCGGAACTAGCAATGTTCACTTTGCTATGAAATACAATACTAGTGCCGTCGGCACTGTGGCCCACGAATGGTATATGACTATTGCGGCTATCACGGATGACTACCAGAATGCCAATGAGTTGGCATTGAGCTACTGGCTTGGCTGCTTTGGAGAGGGGGTATGTATTGTCAACTCTCCGGTATTTAGAAACACCTCAGGCTAACGAGAGAAACACAGGTTCTTGGCATTGCTCTTACTGACACCTTTGGCACACCGGCTTTCCTGCGTGCATTCAGCAAGCCCATCTCAGTACCAAATCAAAAGGGTGGTACTAATCCGAGCACGACAACCTACGCTCAAAGCTACACCGGTGTTCGCCAAGACTCGGGTGACCCTGCGTTCTTCATCAAGATGGTCCGGGACTTCTACGATAGCCAGGGCATTACCGAGACCAAGACAGTGGTATTCTCAGATTCTCTGGATATCGAGCACTGCTTGGAGTACAAAACAATTGCCGAAGAGGCTGGCTTCAAGCCAACCTTTGGAGTGGGAACATTCTTTACCAGTACGTTTGAGTTTTGCAATCTCCTGCAACACAAACTCTAACGAATTCGCAGATGATTTTATTAACAGATCAACCGGACTGAAATCCAAGCCTCTCAACATTGTTATCAAGATCGCCAGCGCGAACGGCAGTCCCGCTGTCAAGCTTAGCGACAATCTGGGAAAGAACATGGGCGATTCTGAGAAGGTCCAGGAAGTCAAGAAGAAGCTGGGCTATATCGAGCACGAGTGGGAAGAGGGTGATGAGAGTCGCCGCTGGACGAAAAAGGCATAGACTGCCTGCCTATCCGCACCATACAATTTGCCTTTGCCACTAAATCATAGGCCATTTGCTACAGACTTGGTAAACATGAGCCCATGATCATATTGATGTTGGAGAGGTGGTTATTGATATTTGCTAGAAATAATGTGTGCCAACTCCATAGAGAATAAGAATACATGATATCCTGAAGAGGTCTGAATTCCGTTCCTCCGCAACGAGGCTCTCCAGTGAGGTACACCCGAGCCATATGCACTAAAAGCACTCAAAGCTTAGACCATCTCACCTTCCTCATTTTCTCCGTTGCCTTCGTCACTTCGTTCGCTTGTTCGTCTCCAACGTGCTCATAGTATCCTATCTGAGCCATGGGGGTTGGGGATTATTTCCATTTATACTCACTTTTGTTATCGTTCCTTCCTCGGGCAGAAAGCTATGAATATCTTCCAATAGTTGCCAAGTTACACGTCAAGGGACGACAACAAAAATCCTAATTTGTTATACATAATCTAGAACATATCATCCTCAGACTCGAACCCCAAGTCCCGATCTAGATCGCCAGTGATTTCGGGCCTTGCATCATTCATTGACTGGTGACGAAAATGCGTTGGATGAAAGTCATCTGTATCATTCAAAGTAAGACAGAACGCATCGTGATTGTTTTGATCTTGATCTAGTGGAGGTGTTGCCTTTTCAGGCACGCGGAAGGTTTCTGTGTTACTGTACTGATTCAGATCAGTGTCTTGAAACAGCTCCTGTGCCCAGTCGACGGTATCTTGGTCTTGGGGCGGGGGTGATATATAGGGTTTATCTTGGTTGTTGTTTGGATTGGGAGGGGTTTGAATATCACGGAAGGAGTCGATGTCGATGGACATAAAGTTGAAAGGATTGTTGTCTATGATGCCAAGATCGGAATCAAAGTCGAAGTCATTAGGGAATAGAGGAGGTGCGGGTTCATGTGTGGTTTCGACGCTGGGCTTAATATGATGTATATTCCCCTGAGCAGATGAAGTTTGTGCTTGCGGCTTCGAGATCTTGGTTACAGCAGGTAGATGTGCTTGGGGTTGGAATATGGAATTGACATTGCTTGGTTTCCTGGTCGCCAAAGACGTTGCAGGGGCATTCAAGTTGTATTCCATGACTTGGAAGAATGTACTAGAGGCGCCCGCCTGCATTTTGATAGCTGCCTCGATGTTGGCGAACTCTTGACTGGCGGCCGGATAAATATCCTTGAGACAGTGAAGGCCTTGGATACAACGATGAAAGTTGTCGACACTGCTTTCGCGGACAGCGGGGTCCTCGGACATGGTGTTGGTCAAATGCGCCACAGCGGCAGGTAGAATCACAGTCACTCCAGACTGCGGTAGAAACCTTGTCAGGTTGAGCTGATTCAGGCCTTGAATAATATGTGTGATCCCCGCGGCAGCATCGTTCATTTTTGTACGGGCAGCATTGCGCCAGTCCGTCCGCGATTTAGATTGATCTTTCAAAGCAGTCGCCCGAGGTCGGTGAAGTGCACTGCTGGTAGCATGATAGAGCATACGTAACATCGCACCATGAAGCAGCAGCACATTTTCACCGTCATAGAAGGTATTCCCCGACTTCGGGATGAATTGCGCATCTTTAGGGAGGGCACTAAGCCAAGAGTCGAGCTTTTGGCCGCATCGCGCAAACTCAGACTCGGAAGCCTGTCGAGGGATAAGTGTGACTGTGGTTCGGTCTGTGGCACCAAATCGGCACTGAGATGGTGTATATTGTGCGAATAATACCCTACCAATACATTGACAGAGCTTCACCTTCTCGATGAACAGGGTGGCGAGGCGTTTCTGATGTGACACATCTTGGAGCTGACGGCAACAGAACTTAGCCACCACATATGGAGAGAAAGGTTCAAAATCAAAATCATCCATTCTGAGCATTGGAACACTGCTCGTTCCATCATTAACCTGAAGCGGGCGCCGCATACCCATGGCGATCAGCCGATCTCGAGAGTACAGACACCACCAGAGCCGAGAACGGAGCCGTTGAGTCCGTATATCAATTTCATCTGATGCAGGGTCTTTGTTCAAACCGATTGACTGTGCTTGTGTATTACATACTCCAATCCAATCCCATATATCTCGCTGTGGGCTGTTCTCTGAATCAGCCCAGTAGGTCATCAATAGGAGTGCTTGGAGAATCACGATGCGATCCTCTTCGCAGTCGAGAGAATAGAGTAACTATTGATGATGAGTTAGTTCACTGATGTCGCAGCCCCTTGAAGAAAGACAAACCCTTAATCGAGTATAGAACGCATTACGCGCACTTTTCCGGGTTGAATACCCAGCATCCTGCAGGTGCTTAAGGTCGACGAAAGCCGTACCAACAAACATGACTGCCTGAAATAGTAAGATGCTAACATTTCCCTCTGGGTCATTTTCAGCCACACAGCGTAAGAACTCTTGCAGGTTCAAAACTGGCATGAAACTGTGTACCCATTGGATGTAGCAGCGCAGAAGCTCATCCCGCAACCCACTCTCTGGAATTGAGACGGCACCACGAAATCGTAAGAACTCTAAGTCTTCTGGGGATATGCGAGCCGGCAAGGGTTTTAAAAACCGGGGCTCGTCGTCCAGTATTGCCGTCAGTGGGTCAAAGTCCGGGTCTATTAGGTCTTGAACGGCAGACACCATGTTTGATAGAGGCATCGAGTGCTGCACATTGGGGTTCCCCCGTGTACGCCATATCCCGGCAGGTTCTGACTCGTGTAACCATGGGGATTGCGGATCGTATCCATGAAGATGGTGGCGCTTAGCCGTGGGCTCTTGGCAAGATTCTGCCAACTTACGTTTGAGAGAAGTTGAAGACATGGGCTCTCAGGTGTGATGTGTCATGTGGCCCTGGTTGGGGTTAGACGTATGCGATTTTGTTCCACAGGGACCTCAACGCATAAGCCTGCAAGAAGGCGGTGTTCGGAACTGGGGAAATGTGGGGGCAACTCTGCGGGGTCTTGGCGCCTGGGGAAATCGGCCCAAATATCGTTGGCTTGATGTCATTCTGCTCCATTGGGGATTTGAATTGGTGAATCTAGTTGGCTAGATCAGTGATCTATATACGATGAGAAATGAAATTATTATAGTCCACCAGTTTTTGACCATCGCTTCTTCATATAAATAAAGTATGTAGGTCACTATACGTACTATTTTCTCCAGTTAGGGATTCCTATTCCAGCCTCACTTTTATAAGGCCCTCGGAGTCAGCCCGCCGAGTAGTTTCAAAAGACGCCCGTGATAAATTTGATCGAAATCATGATATATTAAGTACTCAGTTCATACTCAATCCGTCAGTCGGTACTCACAATAGGATTATTTGTGAACTACTTCCTGATCACCATATGCTGCATACTCCTACTCCGATCGCCGCCCTCAAAATATCCGTTACAACAAGACGAGGCAAAGAAATCAAGTCGCAGAAACAGCCTATTGGTTGTTTATTTAGAGTTGCCCGTGCGTAAGTGGTATATTCCATCTTTGGACATCCACACAGCTTGCCTTCACTCTATCTTATTGGCCACGGCTTGTTGGTTCCTTTGCGCTTCTTCGGATACTTGCTCAGTCATGGGTAAGATATTGTGTTTTTCTTTATGAAGGATGATCGCTAAGCGCTACAAACAATCGGAAGCGAGGGGCTATATATTGGCGCTCATATAGATGACATACTATCTGAGAGAAAGATAGAGAGATGGCTTGAGCCAAGTTGCGGTAGAATGGTAGAATGGTAGAATGGGAATTTCTAGTGTCATTGTACAATTGGATAGACAAGGTGTTCAGCGATAGTAAAATATATATCGCTGCGTGTTTCAGGCATAGATTCGGCATTGCTATAATTCTGTTGCTTTACCTCATGTATCAATTGGCGTCTTATTCTACACTGTTAGAGATTCAATAATCGACACAAGAAACGTACGCATCCATCTCAACTTGTTGCAGTCGCTGATAGCTACTCATCTAGTGTTGTCAGCCGATTTTCAAGATTGGTACAACTGTGCTATTACAAAGCACAGTCAGATATGGCTGTTGCCTCAGAGATCTAGTTGCAGCCTCTTCCAAATCTTGAGGGACTAGGTCATAATTATCACGGGCCAAAAATTGGATTGTACCACAGCCGGACATCCAGCAAATGGCAAAATTCCTGATATTCGTGAATCTCAAAACAGGACACAGCATGTCAGATAGTACATGCCCTGCCAATAAAATATTGTACAAATTATCCAATCGAAAAACAGCCGAGCGAAAGATGCTCCCGCATCATGTTTTCCTTTGACCGACGCCGATATGCTTCCACAGGTTTAAAAGAGGGAGTCCGAGTCGTACCACCGGAGGTATAGAAAGCGTGATGATTTTACATGCTGCGCGATATTAGACGAGGCTCATTCGGTTGATCTCGATGCAAATGTGTTGGGTTGGCTCGACTTACGGAGGAAGGAGGAATTCTCCGAAGCTTGAGTGGAGGAACGCAATACCGGCCTAAAGATATTGTCAGTTTCATGGATAAAATCGAGATGTTAAAATTGTTGATTAGGCAACACGTACGCCGAAGATCACGATGCTGCGGACAATGGTCTTGTTCTCGGGGTTGGTGGCCTCGTCGTAGACAGTGCGGACGAAGCCTTTCTGGGGCCGAGAGCCAGAGGGAACGATGCGCTGGTGAGGGGCCATTTTGTATGTGATGTGAGGGACGAATATAGAGAACGTATGTTGATGTTGGTGTTGGAGTGATGATCGGACGTCGAGAAATCTGCGGCCTCGGAACGCTTGGTCACTGCGTCTTTAGCTCCCGTGGACAACCGTATTTATTTTGCCCGCGCAGTGAAGGACAATGCGACAGCGTCGTCTGGCCTTTCCTTTATATCTAGATCTCCTCACTGCTGCTTCGGATATATCTCTCCCAAAACCAATATTTCTACATATATCACTGCCACGGATAGTGGTTGTCTCCACATTGTCCACTGAACCGGCGTTTTCGCCGCAGCAACCAAGATGAACGTCGATGAGCTCTTCAAAGTGAGTTCCAAGTTCATCTACTGAATTGATGGCATGGCTGATGAGCAAAGAAATCATCTGCAACAGGGAGCGCTAAGCGCAAGTTCGAGCCCGTCCAAGATCCAAGTACGCCCTTTCCTCGCAATGCGCTTGCCGCAAATCCTGACGATGACAGATGAACACTACAAATCAGCAAAACTTGACCCCAGTGGCGATGTAAGATCAAATGGAAAAGCACCAATGGTGGAGGACGAGATTGACGACGGTGAAGCTGGACCCGAGCTTCCTCCGGACTTCGAGGACGACGTCCCAGACGACGAGGAGGGCCGCTTCTTCGGCGGTGGAATGGAGCGCAAGACAGCCCAAGCAATGGAATACATCGATCAGCAAGAGGAGGACGAGGCTGCGGTATGGAACTTTTGGTACACATGATATCTATCCAGGGGCTGACGGTATACTTATCTAGCCCGAGAAATTCGACTCTGCGTGGGTGCGCCGTTTTGCATTGAATTTCGAGAAGAAGATATCCAAGAACGCTGAACTACGAGCAAAATTTGAGAATGATCCGCAAAAGTAAGTGGATACCGGACATTTGTATGTACCGGGTGCTAATGATGCTTCAGGTTCATGGCTTCCGAGGCCGACCTAGATACTGAAATCAAAGGCTTATCAATACTGTCTGAGCATCCCGACCTATACGAGGAGTTTGCTAAGATGGGATGTGTGGCATCCTTGACCTCTCTCTTGTCGCATGAAAACACCGACATTGCAATTGATGTCGTCCAAATAATCAGTGAATTGACGGACGAGGATATGGAAGCAGAGCAAGAACAATGGGATGCTCTTGTCAACTCAATGGTTTGTTGAGGCATGGAAGTATCAGTACCAAGTGCTAACTATCACTAGATGGAGGCCGACCTCATCGAATTGTTGGCTCAAAATCTCTCCCGACTTGATGAAGGATCTGAAACAGATCGAGTGGGAGTATACTACGTGTTAGGTGAGTATCATGTTTCAAGAAATACTGCGAGAATTTTCTAATTCAATAAAGGTGTAATGGAAAACCTGGCCTCTCAGACATCACACGCGGAGAAAATTGGACAGGACGCTGCAATCTTGCCCTGGATCCTGTCCCGTATTCAGCGAAAAGAAGTGATTGTCAGCCAAAACAAACAATATGCCGCAGAGATTCTGGCAATCCTTTTACAGTCCACCCCAAAGAATCGCACGAAATTTATTGAGCTCGATGGCATTGATATCCTTCTCCAGCTGCTTAGTGCATACCGCAAACGCGATCCAGCTAAAGACTCCGATGAGGAAGAATATGTGGAGAATCTGTTTGATGCTCTGATCTGCCTTGTCGAGGAAGACATAGGGAAAGACAAATTCGTGGAGGCCGAAGGTGTTGAGCTTGCGCTGATCATGCTTAAGGAAGGCAAGTTCAGTAAGCCACGTGCTTTGAGGGTTCTTGACCACGCCTTGGGCGGAGTGGGAGGTGCCCCGGCGTGCGAGAGGTTGGTGGAAGTAGCTGGCCTGAAGACAGTGTTCGGGATGTTCTTGAAGAAAGTAAGTTTGCTCTCTCGCAGTCAAATTGTGGTATGCTAATATCCATCCAGCAAGAAGGTCAAAACATCGAACATTTCTTGGGAATTTTCGCCTCCCTTCTCCGTCTTCTGCCTGGTGGTTCTGCTCCCCGCATCCGCACGTTGGCCAAGTTTATGGAGAAGGACTACGCGAGGATCGAGAAGCTTATCAATCTCCGACGCGAGTATGCCGCACGTATTTTACCCGTCGAACAAGCGATTGAAAAAGAACGCAGAACGTTTGATAAGGAGGAGCAAGAACTTATGGCTAGTGAATGGCTATCAAGGCGGTTGGACGCGGGTTTGTTCTCATTGCAGGTATGATTTCTCTTTTGCGATGGTAAGGTTCCTTGCTGACTTGCTGCAGACAATTGATGTTATTTTGGCGTGGCTCATTGCCGAAGATGATGGAGCGAAGAGGAAGATCGTCTCACTTCTTGCGGACCGTGACGAAGATTTGTCCCTGATCCGTGGGACCTTGCAAGGTGAGTAATCCACATTGCTATAATTGCCGGAGGCTAACTCGAGTAGAACAAATCGAAGGTCTCGGAGAGGATGACCTGGGTCACACAGAGTTGAAGGACATGCTAAGCACTCTTTTGCAGTTTGTTTGAACAATGACAGAATTGTAACGTATCATAATACCAATGCTATCAGCAAATCCAATCCACAGGGTCACCTCGGCGCCAGTACACATAGATTTCACTAAGATCTAATATTTTCCTCGGATTGAAAAGTTAGCTTGCTGATATAGACATGTAGACCAAAATACCATCACATATGTATAGAGATCTTAGTATCTTAACTACGCTGCTTCGAAATTATGTTGACAGGTAGAAAATTCCAGCTCATGTACGACCGAATCAGTTCAGAATTCCGAACTAGAAGATGTCAACATGATTATATGAAATCGAAGTATGAATCCAAGATATTTAATATTCCTTAACAGGAATACGTCCCATTGTCCGTTATGGAGAATGGGTATGTATGTACCTAAGGGGTCAGGGAATGCGCCTGACAACTTTTTGTATGGATAAGATGAACTCAACCTTTCGACGATCCTGCGAC